GAAAGCTCGAAAGACAAAACCTCTGGTCCTGGTGACCGACCCAGATCGGATCCTTCAAATCTCAGAATATTCTCTCTTGGAGACCAGCCTTCAGTAGCCTCTGTAATCAGCCCGATTCCAGAAGTGGCAGAATCCTAGAAGATAAGGGTGGGAAGGGCACTGGAGACCCTTCCCAATGCAGGGGTCTCCTACAACAGTGTCCCCATCCAATAGCCTTTGTTGCATGAAGGAGGAATCACCACTTCCGAGGCAGCCTGTTAAACGGTTAGCAAATTTTTCCTGGTCTGTAGCAAGTTCGGCTTCCTTCTCTTTCATTTCTTAGTTTCCTTTTGTGGATCATTCTGCCCTGATTCCTCCATTGCAGCCCTCCGGATCCTCCAGGACAGCAGTCATGGCTCCCCAGAATCTTCTTTTCTCCAGACCAGAGTTGCCCGACTTCTGCCACAGTTCACAGGTTCTGTCTTCCTTCCAGGCTCCTGGGCATCCAATTGCTCTCCTCCATACAGGCTTCAGCCCATCGGGGTCCTTTCTGAAATGCAATGCCCAGAACGGGACGCTGCATCCTAGCTGAGGCTTGGCCAGCGCAGGATAGAGTGGGATGGTGGTTTCTTTTGATCTTTACATTGTGCACCATCTGGAATTGCCTTCCTTGCAGTTGCTGATGGACTGCTGTGTGATCATCAAAGCTCCAAGGTCTCTTCCATCTGTATTTCTGCCTCGAATCGTCCCTCCCCTCCCATACTCGGCCCTTTGATCGTTCTTATACAAATGTAGCACTTCAACTTTTCTGAAATTCGCTTTGCTGGCTTTTGCCCGTTGTTCTACCTGGTCAAGAGCCTCCTGTCTCTCGCCACTAAGTGTGGCTCTCCCCAATGTTTATGTCATCTCTGAGTGTAATAGCTATTTTTTGTGGGGGCCCTTGGTGCTCTCTGAGCTTATTGGTTTTCTTGCAGATGTTTCATTACCTCTCATCAGCACTGATGATGTTCCCTAGTTGGGTCATGAAACGTCTGAAGGAAAAACAACCAGGCTCAGAGAACACCAAAGATTCCACAGTTCAACTCTGACCTAGAAATATCTTCTACCATTTGTATTTTTTAATCCCGCTTGCTAATTGTAAAAACAATGGTCATCGCAGGGACCAATCAGAGCCTAGGATGTCCTGGCAGCCTGATTTCTGCCCAGCAGGTACTCTACACAGTACCTGTGTGATGTCAGTGTTGTTCAGTCCACACGTGTTCTCTTTTTTTTAATTAGAACCCCATGAAGATTTTGTCTCGCATTTTGCTCAAGTCTAGATATTTAGATCCTCTGCATTCCCCGTGTTAACTAAAATGGCCGCTCTAACCAAAATAAGTCCAGGTTGGTTTGCCATGATTTATTCTTGATAACTCAGGCTAAAGGATTTTCTAAATGCTCACAAATCGACTCATCCAAACTTTTCTCCAGCGTTTGTTGATGTCCGGCTGACAGGTCTGCAGTCATCTGGGTCCTCTTTTTTTGAGGACGGGAACACGTTTGCCCTTCTCCAGCCCTCTGGCACCACTCCTGTCCTCCGTGATTCTCCTGAGATCACAGCCAGGAGCCCAGGGGGTGAGGCTGGCGGGCTCTTTGAAGGCTGGCAGGCCTGGCTGCCCTGTTCCAGGGGCTTAAATCACCATAATCATGGTGTTATATTTTACAGAAGCCAGACACCCATCGGTCAGGAAATGGGGACTACAGATCCTGCATCGCAGACCTTCCCAGGGATCTGGGATCCTTCCAGATCCTTCCAAGTTTGTTTATCGGTCTGTATAGCTGATGCTCCAGGTGTCCTGGATGGAGGCAGGCTTCTGGCATGTTGAGTTACCCAATTTGAGCTCAAAGGTTTGCCATGGCAGAGCTCATCTTTGGTCTGGGGCTTTTGGGGAGGGGGGCTGGCACCTCCTGCAATGAAGCCCTGCAGAGATTGCAGCAGCGAGTCAGGCTCTGCATCGGCTTCCTGGCCAGGAAGGGCTTCCGGGAAGAAGCCGCAGGGCTGTTTGAAGCAGAGGGTCGAAGCAGAGGGCAGCCAGAGGGCAGCAAGGCTGGGCAGCTCCTTTGGACCCAGCAGGACAGAAGTGAAGGTCAGCTGGCCTCTCCCCTGGAGCCGAGCAAGAAGGTCCTGGAAAAAGAGACATTTGTTTTGCTTGTCAGCTGGTTAGTACAAGGTGTGAATCTGTCGGTTTGATTTATTAAACCTTGGTTTTGCTCATGTGTAAAGCCGCCTTCCCTGACCACTCGCAGACGGCTGTTCACCAGGGCTCCTCGGAGCATTCCTGGCACTTGGTGGTTCACTGGCCTGCCGTGATTCACAGGCTGTGGCAGAATCCTTTCTTCAGAGGAAAGACTGTCCTTTCCTCTCCGGCTTTTTCGTTTCATTTGCACTTCTGCTTCCTAACAGCATTAATGGAGACGACCAGGTCGGGGCTTTGAGGGGCAAGTTGCATTTCTTTGCATGGAGGTTTCAGCTGGTCAGAATTCTTCGGCCATTCCCACGCACTGAACTGCTGCAATCTGACTTGCCTGGGACGCCCACGAAGTTGGCCTGGAGGCCTCGTGACCAGGAGTGGCCTGTGCTGCCTCACCCATGAAGCCGGGGTGGGGCTGGGGGTCCCAGTGTTCTCTGGCCTGTCTAGACCTGCGTGTGGGGGGGTCTGCACAAGGGATGAATTAACCATGAACAGCAACCTTGAAGGTTCTTGAGAGACGCCATCCTTCCCTTTGAGTGACCCAGATGGACCCAAAGCAGCACGGCCAGGGGTGGGTTCTACTTACCTTGACTACTGGTTCCCATTGTGCCTGCGCACGCTCTTCTGTGCATGCGCAGATCTACTTTGATGACGTCCGGGTCAGTGGGCGGAGCCTCCTGCCGGTTCAAACCAGGGGCAACCCACCACTGAGCCTGGCTGCCCTCTGTCTGGAGTCTGCCAGCAGCAGAAGGGCACCTGCTAGGCCTTGGGAGAGGAGGGGGAGAGTTTTATACACCTGAAGCTGGTTGTAAAAATCCCAGTCAGGTGCAGTCACAAATCACCTTAGAGCCCTCTCTTCTCTCTTGAACAATCAATCAGAATAGAACTGGAAGGTTGGAAGGGACCTTGGAGCTCTTCTAGTCCAACCCCCTCCTCAAGCAGGAGACCCTCTACCATTTCAGACAAGGGGCTGTCCAGTCTCTTCTTGAAAACCTCCCGTGATGGAGCCCCCACGACTTCTGAAAGGAAGCCGTTCCCCTGGTTTATTGTTCTCAATGTCAGGAAGTTTCTCCTCAATTCCTGGTTGCTTCTCTCCTTGATGAGTTTCCATCCATTGTTTCTTGTCTGGCCTTCTGGTGCTTTGGAGAATAAGTTGTCCCCCCCACCCTTCTTTGTGGCAGGTCCCTCAAATACTGGAAGCCTGCTCTCCTGTCTCCACCAGTCCTTCTTTTCTCTAGACTGGCCATACCCGGTTCCTGTGACCGTTCTTTGTATGTTTTAGCCTCCTGGCCTTTAATCTTCTTAGCTGCTCTTCTTTGCACTGTTTCCAAAGTCCCAACATCTTTTCTGTGATGTGGTGACCCAATCTGGGTGGCTCACACCAGAGTAGCCGAGCCCTGCCACACCTGACTCCGATTTCTAGCACAGATTTCCTGCCCACCAGGTGCAGCTCCCAGGGGGTCCCCCACCCTGGAGTCAGCAGAGAGGCTGCCAGGAAATCCCTCCTGGGTCTCCCTGCCTTTTCCTGCAAGAAAAATGAGCAAGGAGGCTCTAAGCGGCCACTCGCTCTGTAAATTGTATTATCGATTAAGGTGGGAGGAAGAGACCTCTGAGCATCTTTTGCGGGGGTGGGGGGGGCATAAAAGCATTTCAGCGTTTCTCCCTTGGATAAGAGACAGGAGCCCATCTTCTGACCAGCCTCTCCTCATTCCCCCCCCCCCGAGGGCAGGGAAGGCATGAGAGGTGAGAGGGGGTCAGTGGTGGGTCAGTGGGGCTGTGGGAAGTCTCTTGTTCCAGGGTGTCTCTCTGTTTGTAGTTAACACATCCCTGAACACAATAGTGTAGCTGGCATGCTGGGAAATGGAATGCAAACCTGGCCACTCTTCTGGGGTTAACCCAGGCTTAGAGGTGAAGGTGTGGTGGGAAGCCTTCTTGAGATGGGGGGGGCTTGGCTTCTCTGCCTCCTCTGAGCATTGTGTAGCATAGGGGGTCCAACCTTGGCAACTTTAAGACCTGTGGACTTCAACTCCCAGAATTCCCCAGCCGGCTCTCCTATGCCGCCTGGGACTTCTGGGAGTTGAAGTCCACAGGTCTTAAAGTTGCCAAGGTTGGACGTCCCCGGTGCAAACCGTCCTTTGCAGAAAGCATCCTCCTGCTCATAAGGGGGGCTTCTTGTGGCTTCCCATGGCTCCGGAACCTGGGGGACTCGGAGACACGAACACTTAGAGCCATTCCAGATGTTAGCTACACATCTGGGGGGATGACTCCTGTGGGGTAGGTGGCATTGAAGTAGTCCAGGACTTTCTCAGGTGGAGAGCTAATATCCGGGTCCCTCAGAAACTTGGCAGGCAGAGCAGACTTGCTGATCCTGGGCACAAGGCAGATCAGCCAAGAGGGGCCAGTCAAGTCGACCTTGCCATGTACTGGGATGAGCGCCAGGATTCACGCCATCCCAAATGCCCAACTCTTCTGTGGCAGCTCTAGTTTCTGGGTGCCTTTCTCTCCGAGGTGCTCTGCTTCTCAGGCCACCTCCTTGCTCAAAGCTTTCCGGGTCAGGCAGCTGTTCGGGTTCTCTGGGTCAAGATCTGGGAAGATGATGCGTCCTGGCACAGGTGTGTCCAGGCAAAGAGGCCCCTCCGCCACTCTGGCCAGACCTTCTGGGTGGCTTCCAGGGAAGGGGCCTGCAGGGCTGCTGGCTGGGCTTGGGTCTGCGAGGCTGGCGAAAGGAAACGGGGGCAGCCTGGTCGGCAGTCAGCACGGCGGTCTCAGCCCTTCTCTCTTTCCCTCCAGGTGATGGGAACCCCAAAGAAAGCAGCCCGTTCATCAACAGCACCGACCTGGAGAAGGGGAAGGAATACGATGGGAAGAACATGGCGCTCTTTGAGGTCAGCGGGGTGTGCAGGGGGCGGGGGGTGGTCGAAGGGGCGTGGCCTGCAGAAGCCTCATCCTCTCGCCCGCAAAGGCCCCTGGATTGCCAGAGCAGCCCACCCTGGGCTCCACGAGAGGCGCCTGGCTGGGCAGGGGATGCTTCAGTCCCAGGAACCCAGATGATGCGGCTGGCAGGGCCGGAGGGGCAAGGACCACCCCCAAGAGCGGCCACCAGCCCTCCCCTCCCTCTGCTTCCTTAACAGGAGGAGATGGACACCAGCCCCATGGTCTCCTCCCTGCTCAGCGGCCTGGCCAACTACACAAACCTGCCCCAGGGCAGCCGGGAGCACGAAGAGGCAGAGAACAACGAGGGGGCCAAGAAGAAGCCTGTCAAGGTGTGGTGGTGGGGCGATGGTTTGTGCCCCCCAAATGCTCACCCCACAATGGGTCCCATAGAGCAGCTAGCCAGGAGCAGAAGAGCCGAATCGCCCTCTCCTTCCTTCAGGCCACAGATCTGGCTGCAGGGCCCGGATGACCAGGAGAGGGCAGCTGAGCACGGCCTTCCCTCCTGTTCTGCATGCTGCCCTCCAGTGGTGGTGTGGGGTTTTGCAGTCCAGCCCGATTCTTTCTCAGCCGGTAAGAGGAGCCCCAGCTTGTGGGTCCTCTCCAGTTGCCCAGTGAAACTGCAGGGCCGAGCCAGGAAGGCATCTGCTGGGGGAAGGGAGGGAGCCCACCCACCCCGTTTGGGTGCAGCCTCATGCCCCCTGCTCTTCCTGCAGGCCACCCGGATGGGCACCTTCATGGGCGTCTACCTGCCCTGCCTGCAGAACATCTTTGGCGTCATCCTCTTCCTCCGCCTCACCTGGGTGGTGGGCATCTCGGGCATCATGGAGTCCTTCTGCATGGTCATCCTCTGCTGCTCCTGTGTGAGTCCCCCTCCGGCCGTGGGGGCCTGGCCAGACGGGCTCCTCCTGACAGGGCAGCCCCTGAACAAGCCTTTTGTAGCCCGGCCTGAGAAAAGGCTCCCCTCCGCCCCCACTGGCCCATACGGATCTCAGCCCAAGTTAGACCCAGAAGGGCAGCCAGGCTTGGGGGCACCTGCCTGGATGGACAAAGGCGCAAGGAAACTGATGGCCAATTTACCCAGCCTTCCATCCCACCCCTCTGTGCCAGCCCTCCCCCAAGAGAGCTCCCTCCCCCTTGGGCAGCCAGAAGCAGCCGGCCAAGCCCAGCTGCCCACTCCAGGACCCCAGGTGCAAATCCCAGTGGCGTCCATCTGACACGCACACCCTGCAGCCCTCAGCCTGCCCTCTGCTCATGGGGTGAAGCCCTGGCTGGCTGGCCAACCGATTAGGGGCCCTTGCGGAGGTGGGGTGGCCGCTGCCTGGTGGCAAGCTGCCTGTGGGGATCCCGCCCTGCGAAGGCAGGGCTTCCGTGGGCTCTGGGCTCCTCCCAATGACTGCCCTGGGGGCTTCTTCTTCCTCCCCCTGCCCCCCACCAATGCCTTCTCCGCCTCTCCTCTCTGGGGATCAACCAAATCACACACACACACACAGAGAGAGAGGGGGGGCTGCTCAGGGGCTGCTTCGAATCAGCTTCCCCCTCCCTGCCAGGCTGGGGCCCCACAGCTGCTCTCTCTCTCCCCACAGACCATGCTGACGGCCATCTCCATGAGTGCCATCGCCACCAACGGAGTGGTGCCAGGTGGGTAGCAGGGGGGGGCAGAGGGTGGCCCACCTCCCGGGAGACCCTCCCCCCCAAAGGAGGGACTTGGGAGGGCTGCCAGAAGCCAGGCACAAACAAGGATCGGCACAGAAGCATGCCTTCTTTTTGGGTGAAGGTCATCCTTGCTCCCTCTGCATGTGATCACCTCCCTTTTTGGCAGCATTAATGGGGCGCACAAAATCAGGGCCCTTCTGGGGTGCCTGAGGGCCCTACCTGGGCTCCTGATGGAGAGGAGGGTCCCGGGTGGAGGGAGGCGGCCCCAAGAGAGAGGGGATTCCATCTCTGAGGTGTCCTTGCCTCCCTCCCACTCCTGCAGCTTCCTTGCCACCTGGGGATGGCAGTGCAGCCAGGCAGGATGTGTTAGTGGCCCTGGGCGGGGGGTGAGGCTGCTTCTGAGACCTCCCCATGTGGAGGGGTTGTAACAGGGGTGTATCACCTCCCACCCCAGAGGATTTCTGGCATCTGGCAAAAGTCCTCTTCCCCAAGGGGTTAGCTGGACAAAAAGAAAGGGGGAGCCCCCATTTGTCCCAACAGCACCCCACAAGAGCCTTTGGTGCTCCTCCTCAGAAGAAGAGCGATGGGTGCCTTGAGAAGCCAGGGCAGCCCATGCCCTCCTCTCTGGGCAAGGCAGGGTCTCTCCAGCTGATGTTTCCCCTCCCTTCCTCCCACCAGCTGGCGGGTCCTACTACATGATCTCACGTTCGCTGGGCCCGGAGTTTGGAGGGGCCGTGGGACTCTGCTTTTACCTGGGCACCACCTTTGCAGGTGCCATGTACATCCTGGGCACCATAGAGATTCTGCTGGTGAGTGCGGGGATGGGGGGGGGGGGGCCGGGGCAGAGCAGGGCAGGGCAGGCAGAGATCCTGCCAGGGAAGGCGCTGGCCTCTTGAGACAAGAAGAGAAGATGGGGAGGGGGTGCCCTGGGTGCCCCTGGAGCTGCCAGAAGAGAAGCAGGGCAGGAAGCTGGCATGCAAACATTTGCACCCATGGCTGCCAACGAAACGGGAGAGAGCCAAGCGTGCTCCCATCTTGGAGGCTGAGGCTGTTCACACAACACAGCTACCTCCATTCTCACGTAGGCAGCTCTTGGGTCCCCTCAAGTAACCAGAGCTGGGCTGGCTGGGTGCATTCAGCCAGGAAAGGCCAGCGCCTGGTGAGGCACGGAGCCCACCCGGAGCTCTTCTGCTTGAGCGGTTTATGCCAGCGGAAGGCGTGAATGGGCGGCATCTCTCGACAACTCCAGAGCTGTTGTGGGGAACCAGGGGGACCCTCCGAACTGTCTCGTGGGGGCATCGCTCCTTCTCCATGTGAGGGTTCCCAAAACAGGAATAGGCAGGAATGGGGGGACCCCGGTCTATGTATCCGTTTGCATGTTCCTCCAATCTCCTGTTGAGGCTTTAATTGAGCAAAGCCCCTCCTACTGGAACTGCCCCCCCCAACCTCCCAGCCAGGTTTCCCTTCAGGCCAGCGTCCTTTGTGAACTAGCAAAGCAATAGAACCGTTTGACATCAAAGCCCCCCCCCCCAGCTCTTCCCTCTTCAGGAAGCCCACCAGAGTGCTCTTCAGGGGCCAGGAGGGACCCCCACCAGCCGAGATTTCTCCCTGGACAACCCTTGATGGAGATGGGATGAGGACTCCTGCTTTGAGCAGGAGGTTGAACTAGATGACCTCTGAGGTCCCTCCCAGCCCTTGGATTCTAGGATTCTAAGCCAGCCTTCCCTTCCCAAGAGGCTCCCGGCTTCCTCAAGAGGCCCCCGTGGGGCAAAGCTGCTTCCGGCAGGGCCTTTGCCAGCCTTGCCAGAGGGGCCGAGGAGGTCATGGGGCAGCTCATGCAAGCAATGAGCAGGCAGACCCCCAACCCGCCTCCCCCCCCATCCAGGGAGGGCAGTGAGGCTCAGGAATGATCTGCCTGGGGAGGGAGGGGGGCACAATCCTCACATGCTCCTTAATCAATGCAAATACTGAAAGAACAGAAGGGAAGAAGCGTTCGCTCTCTCACGCTGGCCGTCTTTATAACTTCTTGAGAAAGTCACAGCCTTCCACGTGGGAGAAACCAGCAGAGAAAGATCGGTTGCATCAAGAAGTAGCGACCTGACATTTGATTCCCCCCCCCCAAAAATACCCATACTGAGCAAAGGGGAGAAGGAGATGCAGCCCCTCTTCACCAAAGTGCTGGGAAAATGGTCCTTTGAAGTGACCCTCAGGGGCCGAGGTCAAAGGATGACCAGCTGAATCGCCTCTCCACTGGCTTGCAACTGACCTGGAAAGTCTCGTGGGGAGAGCTGCTCCAAAGGGAAGGGCTGGAGACCCCCAAGCCCCCCCCCCGCATTGTTGAAGGAGGTGCCCTGAGAGCCGCTCCCTGTGTCCTGCCAGGCCTACATCTTCCCTCCGATGGCCATCTTCAAGGCCGAGGACGCCACTGGGGAAGCGGCCGCCCTGCTGAACAACATGAGGGTCTACGGGACATGTGTCCTCACCTTCATGGCCACCATCGTCTTTGTGGGCGTGAAGTACGTGAACAAGTTTGCCCTGATCTTCCTGGGCTGCGTCATCCTCTCCATCCTGGCTATCTACGCGGGGGTCATCAAGTCTGCCTTCGACCCCCCCTCCTTTCCGTAAGTGCCTTGCTGGTCAGGGGGGCTGGGGTCTCTGGGCTCCTTGCAACGGTTGCAGACACCTGAGAAGCAGGTGGGATGGTTTGACCATGGGGGACTCCTGGCAGTTGCCTCCATTAGCGTTGCCCACCGCCCGATTTCCCTGTGACCCGTGAGGTACCCAAGGGAAGGCCAGAGCTCCATGGCCAAGCGCTGGCTCACCAACTGAAGGCCTGAGCCCAGTGACTGGCACCTCCAGCTGGCAGCGGCCGGTGGGAGCTCTTGCTGCACACCTGAGAGGTTTGAAAAATGCCTCCAGCTGCTTCCTGCAAGATTCCTTCATCCTTCTTCACAATGTAGTGCTGAATACGGCAGCTGTGTCCAGATGTGCTCTGAGGAGCAGGCTGTAGTGAAAGGAGCTCTGGCATTGCCCAGAAGGGTGTAATTTGACTTGGCCCCTTAGATGAAAGTTGGACTCTGGGCAACTTTTTTTTTTTTTTAATTTGATTTATATGCCGCCCTTCTCCGGAGACTCCGGGCGGCTTACAGTGCGCTAAGCAACAGCGCATTGTACCACCTTCACTGAGGGAGGCGCTCAGTGAAGTGTTGATGCGTCCAGAAGGCTGGGGGTGGGTGGGACAGTGTGGGTAAACGGAGCAGAACTTCCCCAAAGCGAAGACGAGCGAAAGGCCCTGCCCAGAGCAAAAGGGGCTCCCGGGAAGAGCGTCCGAGAGAGCGAGGAGAGACCGGCTCAGACCAAAGGGAAGTGTGGAGCAGACCAGCCTTGATGGGAATAAAAGGTGGCAGGGAATTAGAGCACAAGGCGCCTCCAGTGAAGAGCATGGAATTAAAAATAAAAGTGAGGGGGGAGAAACGGAAGCAAAGGAAGCATTTGTTGGGGATTTGGGGGATGAGAATGACAGCGATAGCGCAGACAGGAACCAAAGTGACTGTTCCAAATCTTAGTGCCTAAGGAAAAAAATGGAGGAAATCATAAGTGGTGCCAGAGTACCAGAAAATGGAAGATAAGGGTGGTGTAACTGGGAAAATGCTTAATTATGGATGCGCTTGGCTTAGGTAGGGAGGCTGAATTGGCAGGAGGCCGTCATTGCTGCCCTGTGTGAAGGGAAAGTGGGTTGAAGAGTGAATTTGGGACCGGCAGGACAACCGCTGAGTCGGGGGGGAGGGGGAGTCGGCAAAGGGGCTTCCCAGAGTTCACCCTGAGCGGGTTCAAAAGGCGACAATTAGCAAACTTGAGGGAGAGAAGGGCGTGTGCAGCCCAGGCTTTTGCTCTTCAGCATCTCATTAAGAAAAGCAGCAACGTGGGAGGGAAAGTTTACTGCATGCTTATTCATTTTAGAAAAAGGGTGCAGTTTGAGTCAATAGGCTTGACTCAGAAAATGTTAAACATGAATAGTTCATAGCTGATTGCTGAATGCAGCCACAGAAGGGAAGTCAAAATAAGAGAGAAGACAGGATGCTTAGCTGAAGGTTCAGCACCAAGTAAGAACTCGACAAGGATGTTCCATGCCCTAATTTAAGTTTTACGAATGGGCGCATAAGAAGCCGGTGACATTAAAGGTCTTTGATCAGGGATGCCAGCAGAGATGCAGAACTCGAAGGATTTGCCACAAATGGTGTGTTGCACTGAGGACTAGGATTCTGAAAATCGATATATCGAGAGGAAGGCTGGGTGACTGATGAGGAAACAGGAGCAAAAATAAGCTGACTTTGTATAAATATACAAAAGTATGAAGGCTATTGCTTAATGCATTGTAAGCCGCCCTGAGTCTCCGGAGAAGGGCGGCATATAAATCAAATTAAAAAAAAAAACAATTGTAACTTGGACAGCAATTGTGAAAACTTTGGGAGAATAAATGTGGGTGTTTTGGTGGAATGTTTGTAAAGGATCAGAAATTGCAGGGGTGAAATGCTCCCGGTTCGGACCGGATCACGTGATCCGGTAGCAATGGCGGTGGGTGGTTCAGAGAACCATTAGCAAAAATCCCTGCCCCCTACCCCATGCCCAGCTGAGCCGCGCGATCATCAGAGGCTTTTTTTTTTTTACTTTTAAAAGCATTTTTTTCTGCAACCTCTTCGGCCGAAGAGGTTGTAGGAAAAAAAAATGCCTTTAAAAGCCTCTGGCGATCCCAGCTGAGTTGCCTGATCATCAGAGGCTTCTAAAAGCATTTTTTTCTGCAACCTCTTAAGGTTGTAGAAAAAATGCTTTTTAAAAAAAAAAGTTGGCCACGCCCACCCAGTCACATTACCGCCCCACCACCAAGCCATGCCCACAGAACCAGTAATAACAAATTTTACATTTCACCGCTGAGAAGTTGGATGGAGAAATTTTAAGGTGTGCAAATGCTGGTTGGAAGGAGATGTTTGTGGCCTGTGATGAGGAAGGAAACTTTGTAGAAAAGAGACTCCTTGGTTACAGGGAAATAGAGTCAATGGACTGCCAGGGAAGCGCTTAAAAGCAGGGGGGACAAAAGCGAACAGGCTGAGACTGAGCAGGGCTGAATGGAGGTGGACCGAATGTGTGAGGAGGATCTGGCCGTCAAGAAGCAGCTTTGGCCACCGAGAGAGAGCGAAGGAGCAGCATTGAAGGCACAACCGTCCCCAACCCTTATGCCCTGGCAGCCTGGTGGAGGGGAGGGGAACTGGCCTGTGCAAGCGGTGGGCTCGTGCGTGTGCCAGCCTGCTGCTCGTGCAGCCCACTTCCAAACCGTCCACGGCCCGGGGGTTGGAGACCCCTGGTCTAGAACGACTCGCCACGGGACAATTCAACACTCTATTAATTATTTCATTCAGTTACTTTTATTATTGCTGACCATGTTTTTGTCAAAATTATTGTAATTCTTGTATTTCTGGATTGACTTTATTTTATTATTATCAGTTCCGGTTCCATTGAAATTAATTTAACTGTTGTATTGGTTGAATTGTCCTCTGGCGAATTTTCCCGTAGCAAGTTTGGCTGCAGTGAGTTATCCGATTCCGGCACTGAGTGGGAGGCCAGTTTAGGAAGCTGAAGGAAGGGAGGAAGAGGAGGAGAAGGAGAAAGCCATCTTTGGATTGGATCCTGCCCTGGAGAGGAGGGAGACCCGAGGGAGGAGAGGCGGAGGGCGAAGCACTCTGTGGACATGCCAGGATGCTAGCAAGGACCGAAGCGATGGAGAGACACAGAGAGGAGCTGGATGCTCTCTGGCCTTTTCCTTCTCGCTTCCTCATGACTTTAACCCCGAGAGGGAATGGGGCGATGGGCGGGAACATAGGCCCCATCTTCTTCCAGAGGGTCCTCAGGGCCAGAGTGCAGCTGGGTCTGGAGATCTGCACACCTGGCTTCCAGAGGAGTTGGGGAGAGGCTGGGTATCACGAGGGGATCCTGGTCACCTGCTGAGCCATCTCTCCACTGGTCTGTTCTGGGGCAGAGAGGCCTCCTGGGAGAAGCACCCCTTAGATTCTGAGGCCCCAGCTGGCTGCCTGGAAATGCCCCATTGCAAAGGCTGTCACTACCTGAGATGGGGGGGGAGAGACGGAAACTGGGGGACCCTTGCATGGCCAATTGGAGGAGCTGGCAAACAGTCCTCAGTTTCCCTTCGTGTGTTTTGGCCAGGATTTGCCTCTTGGGCAACCGGACTCTGTCCCGCCATGGCTATGATGTGTGTACCAAGGTGGTCCAGGTGGGCAACGAGACGATGGGCTCTGAGCTGTGGGCACTCTTCTGCTCCTCACGCTTCCTGAATGCCACCTGTGACGAGTATTTCAGCCAGAACAACGTCACAGAAATTCAGGGCATCCCTGGAGCGGCTTCTGGTCTCATCCAAGGTACAAGGAGCTCCTTGCCGGGGAGGGAGGGACAGCCTTGTGGGCTGGGGTCTCCTGATTCATGGGGGGAGGGAAATGCCAGCTGGGCCCTCCCCTTGAGGGCAGCGGGGGTGTGGGGAGAGCCACCATCCACAGGGGGCTGGCTACATCTGGTGCAGGATTTTTGGGACAGGACGTTCCACTTGATCCACAAGGCTGCCACTGGCCCGGGGGTCTTTGCAGGTGAGAAATCCTATTCGGGGGGGGGGAGAGGCAGGTGCAGTGACGAGGGCCTCAGCAGGGGAGGATGGGTCCTGGAGCTGCAGCATCCTCCCTTCACAGAAAACCTCTGGAGCTCCTACTTGCAGAAGGGGGTGTTTATCGAGCGGTCGGGGATGACCTCCGTGACCCACTCCGAGGGGGTGCCGGACATGGACCAGCCCTACGTCTTCAGCGACATGACCTCCTACTTCACCCTCCTAGTCGGCATCTACTTCCCTTCTGTCACGGGTGAGAGGCTTTCCTGGGAAGGGCTGGGACCCCCTTTCTGGAGCGGAGATCCTGGCGCTTGGCCCCCGGTTTAAGGGGGGCCTCTCCCGCCTGGTAAGCCGGGGATGGGGGTGGTCCTGGGAAGGTGGCTGGCTGGAGGCCCTCCTGCTCCCCACAATGCCTGGAAGAGGAGCTTTCAGGCTTGCAAGATTGACACCAACCCTTCTGGGTAGTCCAGACAAGAAGCATCAAGCACAAATCTTCCCTTCCTCCACCTGCCCGGCAGCATCAGGCCTTGGCTGATCTCACTCACACACACACACACACACACAAGCCTGGCCAGCAGCCTTTCCCTCTGGTCCTTCTGCCGCTTCCTCCGCTCCCTGCCTAGATTGGGGGACAGTTTATAACGCAGGGCCCCCCCTCCCTAACGGGAGGGCCAGCCCTAGGGGAAGGCAGGCCTGAACCTCCGGCTCCTTTCCGCAGGGATCATGGCTGGCTCCAACCGGTCTGGGGATCTCCGGGATGCTCAGAAATCGATCCCCACGGGCACCATCCTCGCCATCGCCACCACCTCAGCTGTCTGTATCCTTGGCTGGCATGGGCAGAGGCTGGCACGGGGCGGCTGCCGGGTGAAGGGAGCTGCCTCTTTCCAGCTGGCCTCGAGAGCCCTTCGTGTGGGCCGCAGAGTGAGAGTGATGGGGCTCCTCCAGACAGGCACCCCAAAGGCTCTGTCAGGTGTGCGTCAGGCCCTAGACCAGGCCCTGGCGCTGCGGGCAGACCCTCTCTCGGGGTTCTTGCAGGCTTCTCTCTTACAGAAGCTGAGCCTACGTGGGGAGGGAGGAGGGCTGGGGGCTGTCAGGAAGGAAAATGGCCCCATGGGTACTACCGACTGGGTGTGGGAGGGGGGTCCTAGCCACCCCGGCACAGCTCCCTCGTGTGGGTGCCCCTCCTGCCTTCCTGCCTGCCTGGCTTCCTTGATGCCCCCACAGACATCAGCTCCGTGATACTGTTTGGCGCCTGCATTGAGGGCGTGGTGCTCCGGGACAAGTGAGTGCCTAAGACCCCCCTCCTCCCGCCGGCATGCCCTCCGCACTGCCTCTTGGGGAACCCAGCTCTGCCTCGAGGCCCCCCTCCAGGTGGCATAACCGGCTTTCAGGGCTGAGGGGGACTGGAGGGGGGCAGCTTTCTCCCGCTTGGCACCAGCTGGGTCCGGAAAAGGCACTCTGTAGTTGTTCAGGGGAAGCCTTCTCAGGCCAAGGCAAGGACCGGCTCTCTGGTCCCTGGGAGGCCGGAGAAAGGGGCCCCACCTTCACCACCCTTTTGCCATTCCAGGTTCGGCGAGGCCGTCAGTGGGAACCTGGTGGTGGGCACGCTGGCCTGGCCCTCCCCCTGGGTGATCGTCTTCGGCTCCTTCTTCTCCACCTGTGGAGCTGGGCTGCAGAGCCTCACGGGGGCCCCTCGCCTGCTGCAGGCCATCTCACGGGACGGCATCGTGCCTTTCCTCCGGGTACGTGGGGGGAGCAAATGCAGGCGGGCCAGGGTCGGCAAGGCAGGCTTCCTGGGGACCAGACCTGGACCGACTCTGTCATTTAGGAAGAGAGGGGGTTTGGCTGTAACGAAAGGCCTATTTTTACTGAAGCCAAGCAGTTACAAGATAGGAGAGATCTGAGGTTTGTGTGTCAAAACTGCCTACTTACTTTCCCCTTTCCTGGGTCCTTCCCTCCCCCCTCCCCCCGGGTCCAATTGGATTCAAACAGATTGTTTTGGTAACGGTTCTGGTGCTTGGTGGGCTCGGTGATGGCCCACATTCCATGCCCGTGGCCTTGGGGTCAGCGGCCGATGTCTCTGGCAGGCACTTGGAGTCATTTCGGTTTCTTGTCTACACACATACACACACACACACACACACACACACACCCCGTTGGCTCCATTCCTCACACACTCCCAGGGTTCATGGCAGTCTGGCAGCAGCGAAGCAGCGATGGGGCGAAGCAGGTTGGCAGCACGGGCGCACGCCTCCTCTTGGGAAAGGCTGGGTGGGCGTTGTGTGCATCAGGGCCACCAATTCCAAGGGCCCCTCAGGGTCCCCCAGTAGGCTAAGCTCCTGCTGTGAATCGGCAAGACCCGAGCCGGGCACGGAAGAGCCACTGCAGCCTGTCCAGGGAAGCTGCTGCCCTCCGCAAAGCCAGAGCGACAACTCCCCCCACCCCCTCTGCCTTCCCATCGCCCGGAGGGCCCCTAGCCTGCCACGTCCTTCTGGAGACAGAGAAGCCGCTGGTTGATGCAAGGAGACATCCGTCCTCTCGCCCTTCGCACAGAGACACGCACACACTTGGGCATGGGGGAGGAGGGAGGATCTCACACACACTCAACCAGTGAGTGGTCGGCTTGAATCGCTGCTCCTGCGAAGGAGCATTTTGCAAACGATGCATCCCTCAAAGCTCCACTAGAAGCAGCCCGGTGGGAGGTACCCTGGCTGCTGGGCTGGGACCCCCCCTCCCCAGGCCTCGGGAGTACCTTAGAGGTTATCTAGTCCAGCCCTTGGTGGGAGAGGAATCTGCTACTGCAGTGTTCCTGACCATCTGCCACCAAGTCTGTTTCCCAGAATCGGAAGGGACCTCACGGATCATCTAGTCCAGGGGTGTCAAACTCAAGGCCCGGGGACTGGATTTGGCCCGTGGAGTGCTTAGATCTGGCCCGTACTGGCTCTGCCAGCGAAAATGGAGTCTGCGAGGGCTGCAGGCGGCTCTCCCGAGCTCTGTTTTTGCTGGCAGAGGGTTGCAGGAGGCCGTCGCAGCTGCAAACAGAGCTCAGGAACCCCTTTTTCACTGGCAGAGCACTCGACACGAGTGATGTTGAGCTGGCTATGCCCATCCTGGCTCTCCAAGGTCAAACACAACCCTGATGTGGCCCTCAATGAAATCGAGTTTGACACCCCTGATCTAGTCCCACCCGGGACCGGTTCAGCCGTTCTCTTCTGTAGCAGCCACCTTCCCTCAAGGGAATGAGAGGGGCTGCCCCAGTTCTTAGTTACCTGAACAGAAAAATTAGTGAGCGTTAACTTGCCCTTTTGGGATCCCAGAGCCGAGCTCTTCCCAACCTTTCCTTGCTTCAAGTGTTTAACGGGGGATGGAGGGATGGAAAGGAGGCCGTAGGACAAATGAAATCTCCCTGGCCAAGTTCCCTCGGGCGCTTTGGGTCTCTCTGGCCATCCATCACTTCGTGCCTCCCTCTTGTTTTAAAGGACGTAATGCACTGCATTCAGCCGCATCTTCTTTGCTCTTGAACCTTCAGCTTCCTCTCCTTCACTGAATAGCTTTGCTCTTCAGCCCTCCTTCCGCCTCTCTTGCTGACCATCTGGGCAGGTTTTTTTAAACCTGACACTCATTGTCCAGTCATTCATTACCGGATCAAAAGTGTGTCGATAGTCTGTTTCCTTTTTCTGGTGTTCTCGCTTGTTGTTCAGACATCCAGATAAGCAAGGATGAACACCAGACAAACAAGTCTTAAACAATCCCCTGGTCAAGGGACTGCCACAAAGAAACCCCACCAAAAACACTGGCAGGCAAGCTGCTACAACTACGACACAGGGAGCAGACCCCACAACCCTCACCCAGATGGTGTGACCTCTTACCGCCAAACTCAGAGAGCACCACGGACTGCTCAAGCATTGGTTCCTCGTAACAGACCACATGTAATCTTTTTATCAATATTCGTCCATCTTAAAATTTCTCCCTCTTTAGTAACTATTCTACCTAGGTATGTAAATTCATCTACCTGCTGCACCTTTTCATCTTTTATTTGATTTTCCTGGTCAAAAACAGCAACTTCTGTTTGATATATTAATTTTCAGATCCTCCGTGTGATCTATTAAATATTCCCAGCAAAGCCTTTGCTTTCTTTGCCGACAACATGGCCTTGTCTGCCTATAAAAAGACACCTGCCTTCACCTCCCTCACCGAGGTACCTTTAACAGCCCAGCAAAGTCCCTGTGGAGATTCTCAGTCGTGGTTGTCCCAAAGGTGCTTTTTCAAAAGGCAACTGGACTTTTTGGTTTTTCCCTTGAAGATGTTTTGCTCCTCATCCAAGAACCTTCCTCAGTTCTGACTGAAGGGTGGAGGATGGAAGGATTTATATTCCTTGCAGTCATCTGCTTGTTAGCACTCTCTCTGAGAATCACTTGGGAGGTTTATCTGGGCCCTCGGGGTCACCTGAATCAGAGCGCAAATGGCTGTGGAGCCTTCTTGCAGCGGCTGAAACCGCAACTCTCTCCTGTCCTCCCTACCCATCCGTAGCCCACGGCCAGCCTCTGCGCCCGCCCGGTCTTCCCCATTCCTCCTTGCACCACCTCATCCCCTCCAGGGGCAGCAGTCCAGGCCATCTCGGCAAGCGACTGCAGCTCACAGCCAAGGGGGCCGAGACTTGCAAGGGGCAGACAGAATCTGGGAAGGGGGGCTGCAGCAGATGCTCCCCCCCACTTTCCAAAGACTTGGTAATGCTGTGAGCTGCAAGGAGGAATTCCGTCTGATAAGCTCCTATATCTCGGGGCAGGAAAGGACGGGCAGTGGCTGGGGTGGCTGGCCCAGCCTAGAGGGTCCCGATGCAGGGCCAGACCCCCCCAAGGTGCCCCTGGGAACTGCCGCCCAGCCCCTCTCTCTGCACTTTCTCCGCAGGTCTTCGGCCACGGCAAGGCGAATGGGGAGCCCACCTGGGCCCTCCTGCTCACCGCCTGCATCTGCGAGATTGGCATCCTGATCGCCTCCCTGGACGAGGTGGCCCCCATCCTCTCCATGTATGTCCTCCCCAAACTAGGCCCCTTCATGGCCTAGAAGGCCGGCAGGGAAGCTAAAGGAGGCCTGGCTTCGCCCCCCCCCCTTGCAAGCCGGGGGAGGGGGCTCCATCCTTGCAAGCTGGGCTGGGACTTCTCTGCTCCCCCAGCACTGAGCAACCCTCTCCCCCCAGGTTCTTCCTTATGTGCTACATGTTTGTCAACCTGGCCTGTGCGGTGCAGACCCTCCTGAGGACCCCCAACTGGCGCCCACGCTTTCGCTACTACCACTGGTGGGTGCCCTCTTTTTCCTGGGGTGGGAGGCACTTCAGATCCTGCAGCCCTGGGGCGTCCGACTGGGGGGAGGGGCTGGGGGAGGCAACCTCTTGACAGCGTGGCCTCTGGGGTCTTGCAGGACCCTCTCCTTCCTGGGCATGAGCCTCTGCCTGGCGCTGATGTTCATCTGCTCCTGGTACTATGCCCTGGTCGCCATGCTTATCGCGGGGCTCATCTACAAGTACATCGAGTACCGAGGGTAAGTGCCCCACCGCTGCCCCCACCCAGGCCCCACTGGCACACTTCCCAGGTGGGCAGAATAGAGGTTCCTACTTTGGGGGCGTGGGGGGTTGTGCTCTGGCTAAATGGTGGCTGGCTGGGCCTTGGCCCCTTCTTGAGAGACGCTGGAGGGTGAGTGGGGGGGAGGGGTGTTCAAAGCTAAACCCCCGCCATCGTTCTTCCAGGGCAGAGAAGGAGTGGGGCGATGGCATCCGGGGCCTCTCGCTCAGCGCAGCCCGTTATGCCCTGCTGCGGTTGGAGGAGGGGCCGCCCCACACGAAGAACTGGAGGTGAGTCGGCCGTTGGGGGGGCAAGGCTGGTGCTGGGCCTGGGTGGGGGGCCCAAAGGGTGGGCAGCCTCTCTTGCCCTGCTGGGCCAGCCTTGGCATCTCAGCGGCAGCCACCCCCTTTCCCAGCGTGGCCCCAGGAAGGTGGACTGGCACACCATATAAAGTGCAGTTGTGACTTTGAGGAGCAAAATCAGGGCTCCAGATGAGCTTGTTCTGCGACTGGCATCATGGCACAGGAGGGCCTGTCAGCATCTGGGCATAAAAAAGAGCTGCCTTTCCTGGGTTTCTCGCAGAGGGAAAGAGCAGGAGAGATGGAGGGGAGAAGGGGGAGGGCTCAGCACAGGTGGGGGACTGTTGTACCAACTGGCACAGGATGGAAGACCATGGTGAAAGTACCACGGGTGGATGGGGCCAGGCCAGGCCAGCGACATTTCAGCCTTAGAGCTGGTGCCCACTTGACTTGGCTAGCACCAAGGCCTCCGTCTTCCGTCTTCCCAGACCGCAGCTGCTGGTGCTCGTCCGGGTGGACCAGGACCAGAACGTGGCTCACCCGCAGCTGCTCTCCCTCACCAACCAGCTGAAGGCCGGCAAGGGACTGACCATTGTGGGCTCCGTGCTGGACGGCACCTTCCTGGACAACCACCTGCAAGTCCAGCGTGCCGAGGAGGTGAGCCCAGCAGAACCACCCATGGGAGACCTTCCCCTCTGCCCAGCCTTGACCCCATGGGGCAGAAGGGCCCCGGGCTCCTGGGGAGAAGGGCCGCCCCAAGGGCAAGTGTGGGGGGTGCCGGGTGTGACCTCCCCCTCTCTGCTCCTCCCGCCCAGTCGATCCGGCGGCTGATGGAGGCCGAGAAGGTCAAGGGCTTCTGCCAGGTGGTGACCTCTTGCAACGTCCGGGACGGAATGTCGCACCTCATCCAGTCCAGCGGCCTTGGAGGGCTGCAGCACAATACGGTGCTGGTCGGCTGGCCACGCAACTGGCGCAGCAAGGAGGACCACCAGACCTGGAGGAACTTCATTGGTGAGAGAGGAGGGTGCCTCACAGGCAGCGGGGGGGGGGGGGCGGGGGAAGGGACCACAGCTGGCCTTGTCCGGCCAAAAGAGAAGTGTCCTCCTGGGGGCATCTCTGGGCTCCCCACTGCCATCTTCGCCCTGGCACTTGGGCCTTTAGGGAAGCTGCCCTCTGCTCCTTCCTTGGTTCTTCCTGTGGGATTTCTGCTGTTCGGGGGTGGGTGGGGGCTCCCGTTCAGAATTCCCTCCCTTGGCACGTCTTCCCCTTTGCCTGTTTCTCCCAGAGTTGGTGCGAGAGACCACAGCTGGCCACATGGCCCTGCTGGTGGCCAAGAACGTGGCCATGTTCCCAGCCAACACGGAGCGCTTCCCAGAGGGCCACATCGACGTGTGGTGGATCGTGCATGACGGGGGGATGCTGATGCTGCTGCCCTTCCTCCTGCGCCAGCACAAGGTGCCCCCTGGAGGAGTCGGGCCTGGCATGGCGGGAACAGCCCCGGGGGCCTCCCTTTCCCTGGCACCGCTGCCCTCCGGGGCTCCAGAAGCCCAAGCAGGGAGGGGCCCTTCTTGCAGATGGGACCCAGCAGCATCTCAGAGACAGGGGGCGATTGGGGGGGGGGGCTCCGCACGACTGAGCTGGCTGGGCCGGGTGTCTCTCTCCGTGCAGGTGTGGCGCAAGTGCAGGATGCGCATCTTCACGGTGGCCCAGATGGATGACAACAGCATCCAGATGAAGAAGGACCTGACCACCTTCCTCTACCACCTGCGCATCACGGCTGAGGTTGAGGTGGTGGAGATGGTGAGGCTGGGCGGGGGGGCAGCAGCCCAGCCCTGCTCTTTGGGTTCCTCTTGTCCCGCCCCTGCTGTGCCCCCCCACCACACGAGACCCCCACAACATGCCCCTGTCTCGGTGGGCTGCTGAAGGCAGCAAGTAGCCCTGAGCTGCCCCCCAGCTTCCCCTTCTCAGCCCCTGGGGGGGAGGGAGCCCCCCGTTGTCTCTTGCCCAGGTTGCTCCCTCTTCCGGTCACGAGTTCTGGCTTTCCCACCTCTGGGCTCCTGGTGGGGCCTCTGCTAAGGGGGACCCCCCACCGGTGCCCACCGAATCCAGCCCCGCTGAAGGCAGACGCTGCTCCCTCTTGTCCCGCAGCACGAGAGCGATATCTCGGCCTACACCTACGAGAAGACCCTGGTGATGGAGCAGCGCTCCCTGATCCTGAAGCAGATGCACCTGACCAAGACAGAGCGGGAGCGCGAGGTAGCCTGGCCCCCGGCCCACCCACCCCAGCTTGCCTGGCACAGGATGCCATCTGGGGAAATCCTGGCTTTTCATGGCTGGCAAAGCCACAGCTGCTGCCAACACCTCCTGCCACCGGAGCCGGCTGTCCGGTGCCTCTCTCTGCCCTGGGCCTCTGGATGCATCTTGGTGTGATTGGGCCAAAACTCCTCTGAAGGGTGGAGAAACAGTTTCTGGGTTGTGTATTTTTATTGGTGGGGGGGGGAAGAGGAGGGATATACGACATGTGTGTTGGAAAGGAACTGCGTGTGCTGTGGTGCCCAGCATTTCAGCCACTCTGCTTGAGCCTGGCTGGGTCTGAGCAGAGAGTCCGAAGTCCCCTTGCCTTCTGCCCCAGATCCAGAGCATCACGGATGAATCCCGGGGCTCCATCCGGCGCAAAAACCCCCCCAACACCCACCTGCGCCTCAGTGTTCCGGATGAGCAGGTGGGCGACAGTGAGGAGAAGCCTGAAGAAGAGGTAAGGCGGACAGGCACGGGGTGGGACGTCAGAGAGGGAGAGGGGGTCTGGCAGAGACGGGGGCAACGGCTGTGTGGCTGCCCCCCTTACCCAGAAGGGCTCCTGCCTAGGGACCACCTGCTCTGCAGAGGAGGCTGCAGGCGGGAGGGGTAAGGCGTTGCTCGGCCGCTCAACAGGTGCAGCTGATCTACGACAAGAATGCCACCAGCTTCTCAGGTGACTCACAGTCCCCGGGGGAGGAGGCCGAGGCTGAGGCCGAGGCCGCCCCCGAGAAGGTGCACCTCACCTGGACAAAAGAGAAGGAGGCTGAGAAGAGCAAAGCCAAGAGCCCCGTCAGCTCCGAGAGCATCAAGGACTTCTTCAACATGAAGCCGTGAGGGGGGAGAGACTCGGGGGAGGGGTGATGGGGGGGTCAGGTGGACATCCCCCCCAGGCAATGACATGCTCTTCCTTCCTTCCTCTGCCTCCGACACTACTCCGGCCCGCCGTGGTTGCTGCCAGGGAGTGGGAAAGCCTGTAAGTGCCCCGTTGGCCCCCCTGCAATGCTTGGGGAGGGGGTCTCCCTCCTGCTTCCACGCCTCCTCCTGGCAGGCTGTGCCCAAGAGAGGCCGAGGCTGCCTGGCTGGGTCCTCCACTCACCCACCCACCCACCGGCCCGTCTTCTCCCCCAGGAACCAGTCCAACGTCCGGCGGATGCACACGGCCGTCCGGCTGAACGAGGCCATCGTGCGGAAGTCACAGGAGGCGAAGCTGGTGCTGCTCAACATGCCGGGGCCCCCCCGGAACCGGAAGGGGGACGAGAACTGTATCCTTGCAGGGCTTGCCTGGCAGGAGGGCTGGGGAAGGTCGGGGGGCTGCCAGTTTTCTTAGAGGGAGAGCCGCTGGGCTTCTGCTCTATAGAAAGGAGGGGTGTCTTCACTTGACAAGCCTTGACACCTCCCCCCAGATATGGAGTTCCTGGAGGTGCTGACGGAGCACCTGGACAGGGTGCTGCTGGTTCGTGGGGGCGGGCGGGAGGTGATCACCATCTACTCCTGAGTAGCTGGGCGAGGCCCTTCCTTGCCCAAAGGTTTGTGCCCCGAGAGCCTTGCACCCCACCTTTTCGCCCACCGCCCCAAGATGCAGCAAGCCCTACCCGGCCTGTGTCTCGGGGTGGGAGGATGGAGCCCCACCCGCAGCTCAGCCGCGCCCCCAGATCTGCCGAAGGGGGAATGGGTGGGTGGAGGTTCTGCCCACCAGCCTGCTTTCCATTGCTGCCCCTCCACCCGATCCCAGGTGGGGAGAGGGTGCCAGCCGAGGCCACCAGCATGCTTCCCTTGCCAACGCTGGCCTCTCCCACTCACTCTGCCCCCCACCTTCTGTGCCAGGCCCCTCTGTGCAGGGAAAGCGCCCCGCTCAGGGCTCTCCCCCTCTCTTTGGACTCAATGTGGGGTGGGGGCTCTTTGGAGCAAGGGGATCCTGGGGGATGAGCTGAGATTCACTCCCCCCATGCAATCGTAGGAGTTTTCCCCATCCCGGCCAAGGGGCTCTTGGCACCCACCGGGCCAGCTGACGCATTGCTTAGCTGATCAGCCCCTCTCCTGGCCTGACCCCCAACTCCACCAGACTCTCCCCCAGAGGCTGGGGAGGGAAAAAGGGCTCCACGCAGCGGTTCGTCTTTCGGCCTAGGCTCCCAGCTCACACACACACATGTGCCAATGGGGGTGTGTGTGCCAGGGGATCTCTGCCACTCCTCAACCCCGTTGCACTTTAGGGTCTTCCAGCCAGGGACTCCCCTCAGGCCAGGATCAAAGTGAACCCTGGACAGCTGCAGGGCCGGGGCCCATTTTGAGAGACCCCCACAAAGCCCTGCACTACCCCAGAGACCCCCCTCCCAGGGAAAACGAAGGGGAGCACAGCTGCCCCTTTGGCTGTGGACTTCTCCTCCCTCCCCCAGGAAAGAAGGGGTGTGCTCTGCTTCTGTGTGTCCCCCCCCATTTCTGGTGCCTCACCTTATACCAAAACACGTGCATTGGACCCCTGGGGGCAGCCCCCTCCCCCAGAAGAGGAAAACGGTGGAGCTTTTAACCAATGTGAATAGTTCTCCAAGAGCAGAACGCTGACCCCCCTCCTGGGAGGCTGTAAATATATAGATATATATATTCTGTACATAGCACAGGACCAGTATTTTTAAAGTTGTCCTATTTAGGTGAGAATAACTGAGAGGAAGCTGTGGGAGGAGGAGCTGGGGCGGCTCCAGGATGCTCCGGCATCTTCATGGGCTGGATGGGGGGGGGCTTCCCTCCCCCTCCAGTGGGCCCAGGGCCAGAGCAAAGTCCCTGCTCTGCCGTCCAGGGGGAGCTCCAGAGCCGTCCTCTGGGTGCTGCAACACGACGCTTCTTCTCAGGGCAAAAGTGGCCCCCTCCCCATCTTGCAGAGCTGACCTTCCACCCCGGTTCAGCCAAATGACTTCAGGCCTCCTCTGGCCGCCCTCTAAGCAGCTGGGCCTTCCCTCCTCCCCAGCGACTAGCAACCCCACAGCTGAGGGTGTACCAGGGGAGTTTTGGAGAGCACTTCATGTATGGAGAGATGCCCTCTCTCACACACACACACATGCACGCACGCCCACTCCCCTCCAAGAGCAGGGCCCTCCAATTCAGACCCCTGGTCAGCACTTTCTAAGGGACGCACCCCCGGCACCTCCCCTGGAAGGCAGGCAGACTTCTCTCTCGCTTGCTGACAGATGCCCAGCCTACCTCTGGCAGTCCCGGGGCCGGGGAAGGGCCCAGGCTCATCTGGTCATTGCTTCCCCTCCGTCCCAAGCGTCCTCCTTGCCTCCCGTTCCAGAGGGGCCCACAGCCGGCTAGCTGGAGCATTGCATGCCAGTTTACACTTCCCCCACTCCCAACCCTGCATGCTTGGTGCCGCGTCCTGCTGCCCTCTGGCGTGTGGGCATCCAGGGGCCCCTGACCAAAGCTGGAAGAGGGACTGCAGCCCTGCACTGAAGACGCCACGGCCTCCTCGCTGCTCTGGGAAAGCAGGGAGGGGCAGCCTCTCGGCCTCAGAGGCTTCCTCCCCGGACGGATCCAGACTGCAGCCCACTGTACTGTTGCTGCACCCCTGGGCTTCTGAGCTGCCCCCCTCCCTCGCTGTGTGGAGGCCGTCTCCTCACGGAGGGCTGGCGAGGTCACGAGGCAAGAGGCGAGCGAGGCGAGCCCACGGATGGGTCGGTGACAACTCTTCTTTCCGTGCTCACGTGCAATATTTTTGTTATGAATGTGACACCAGTCAGCTCATGAAGTACCTTTATAATCAGTCACTGTAGCTCCTCTGTTTTCTGTCCATCCGAGTGACTTCGATTCCAGTGCGATATTCTTGCAATAGCTGTTGTGAGCTTTTTCATAGGCCTTGTGTTCTAGGGAATACTTGTGCAGCGCAACGCCGCCGACCCCCCTTTGCTCTTTGTAAATAACCTCAGTTGTCCACCCAAAGGAAGGTGAATTGGGCTTGCGTTTACTTTCCGCGAGTGTTTGCGTGGCCGGTGCTTTAGGTATCCAGGGGGCCACGGCCCCTCTTCGCTTGTGTTGAGGCTTATACCGTATATTTTGTTTTCTAGACTTCTGTCTGCACAAAATGCAATAAAAGGATTTTATTACACCCTTCACTTGCTGGTCGTGGTGACTGTTGTCCTCCGGCTGCCCCAACAAACCTATCCCCCCCCCCCCCGGGTCACCTCTCTGGCCTCTCCCGTCATGTGTCTTCTCAGGACCCCAAAAGTAGACGGCACCTACAAACAGTCGCTTTGCCCTGGCTGGCGGGGGGTGGGGGTAATGACTCAATATGTACCTGGCTGTGCCTGGTTGCCCAGTGGGCTCTTGTGTGTCCCTGGCCCTCCCTGGCTGCCCACAGGGGTCTTGTGCTCAGAAAGCCTTCAGAAGCAACATCTCCCTTGCAGAGTCAGGATCGGGCCCAAGATCCTCCTGAAGAGGCTCCTAAGGGGCTGGAGTCTGCTGCTGCGGGGACCACCCTCTGTGTTGGGCAAGAGGAGCAGGATGTGGTGCAGCATTAGACCGTCCCTGGGACAGTCCGGGAAGTCCTACTGAGTGCGAAGGGGGTCTGTCTGCCAAGGGTTGGGGTCTGAAGCTGCCTTGCAACAGGGACAGGGCCCTGTCCCCCTAAAGGTCTGTCTTCCTCTCGGGGGAAGCAGGCAGGGGGCTCCGTTTGCAGACCAGCTGTGGGGAACTCAATGAAGAGGTTGCCCTGTGTGGCCTTGGACCGGCTGAGGGCACAGCAGGGCAAAGGTTGATTCTGTGCCAAAAAAGGGCTGGCCTGAATCAGCCAGCATTGTGCCCCCCCAAGGGTTAGGGTTAGAGGCTGGGGCTCCCCCAGACTGGGTGAGAACAACTGGCCTTGGAAAAGAGGCGACTGGAGGGTGGATGTGAGTCAGGCACATAAATTCCTGCAGGAGGAAGGCAGGTGGGTGGGCTCCCCCACCCCGACATCCTCAACTGGAGGCGGAATTCATTGTGACAAGGCTCAGTGATGGTCGCTCCCCAATGGCTTCCAAGGGGCCTGGATAGATCCACGTACAAGCATTCTCCTTTATTGGTTTCAGAGAGTGGTCCCCTCCAGGTTCAGGGAGGGAGGGAGGGAGTGGTCCGTGTCCCTTGCTTGCAACCCCCACCCAGGCAGGCCAGAGGCTCCCAAGGGCCTCCATCTTCTGCTCATGCATGGAGAGCATGACATTAACTGGGCAGATACACCAGGGTCGGATTTCCAGGACCTTTTTGAAATTCCTTCTACAATAGTCCAGTCTTCTAACATTTGAGGGGCTGCCACAAAGAAGAGGGGGTCAACCTGTTGCCCAAAGCACCTGAAGGCAGGACACAAAAAGCAACAGATGAAAACTCATCAAGGAGAAGCAACCTAGAACTCAGGAGAAATTATCTGATAATGGGGAGCAATTAACCAGTGGAACAGCTTTCCTCCAGAAGTTGTGGGTGCCTCCTTCACTGGAGGTTTTCAAGAGGTTAGACAGCCATTTGATCACGATGGTGTAAGTCTCCTGTTTCAGCAGGGGGTTGGACTAGAAGACCTCCAAGGTCCCTTATTCTGTATTCTCTTCTAATTCCTTTGCTGGAGCTGTTCCATCAGTTTTGACAAGGGCTGAGTCGGGCTCGGGGAACTCAGGTGAGTTGGGGGCCTGGAGCTCTCCCCTTCCAGGTAGCCTCCACAAGATGGCGCTGCCGGTCCGCTCTTCCACAAGCTCTCAACCTCCCAAGAAGAGTAGAGGACACAAACGGGCAGCTGCTCCGCTTTCCCCTTCCCTTCCCCTCAGCCACCTTCAGCCACTGTGGGGAGGGCCTCCCTGGAAAGCAGGGCTTTTGGAAGGCTACCGCTGATGCCCAGATGTTCCCGGCCTCTGGATGCCTGGCCCTGCAGGACTGCTCTGCCCTCCTCAGAGCCGGCAACATGCCGGCAGGCTCCCCTCCCAGGGTCCTGGGCTCCCTGCCCTGCTGGCCCCACAATTTCAGAGGATGGAAATGCTGGAAGGGGAAGTAGGCAGCGATGGGAACTCGGGGGTGCATCCATGCACATGGGGAACATGGCCCTCAATTAGGACAAGGGGGCTAAATCCAGCCTGGTTGTGATCCCGGGGTCAGTCTGTGTGTGGCAGAGGCTCCTGTGCCCCTCGCCCATGGGCATTCCTGCCTTGAACGTGTCCTTGGACCAGCCAAGGGCGCTGCAGGGCAAAGATTTCTTTTGAGCCGGGGAGTAACTAGCACACCCCTCCCACTACAAGGCCCACCTTACAGGGCAGGGAGGGTTGGCCAGAAGGGAAACCGGGCCCCACTGGTCACCCCAGGCTTCAGAGGAACCAGAATTTGGGCAACTGCGAGGCTGGTGCTCATTGCTCCAGGCAACAGCCCCCTGCAAGACTTCCACCATCCCTCCCTGCTGCCTCAGATGTCCCAGGACACCATAGCCCATCAGCCAGACCCCCACCCTTGCTTTCATCCGTGCAGCTGATGCCCAGCGCCCGCCTATCCGCTCGGCCCACCTGCTCTGCCCCCTGGCTGACCCACCCGCTGCTCCCCAGAGCGAACCAGCCTGTTTCCTCCCACGCTCGGCCAGGAAACTGTTCTGCACTGGAGCAGCTCCTGTTGGCTCCTTTGCTAACGGCGCTTCCTTTTCATTCTTCCTGGTCTCAACCCTCTCCCCCCCCACCCCCCCATTTTTGAAATTACACCTGCCAAGTTGTTTGTAGTTATTTTGGACCACCTTGGATGGCCATTTGAAAGAAGGCGATGTGCAAATGAAGGAAAACTTCTGAATATTCTGAAATGGTTGTTAAAAGAGAAGCTGTGACTCATGGGGGGAAAATACTGAAGGAGGAAAGTTTGTGCGGGCTTTTCCAGGTCAAATTATTCTCCTAATGTTCATGGCCTGAATCTGGTGTAAACATGTGGAATATCAGACGGCGCTGGGAAGAGACACCTGCTCTCTCTCCCTCCCTTCAGCCGTTCAAAAACCAGGCCGTTTTCTTTCCAGGCCAGGGGAAAGACGAGGCTGCACTCATCACAGCCCTCCTGGGATGCTCGCCCCACCTTCCCCCCAAGAGAACCGGCCCTCCGGGCAGATGGCAATTCCAGAGGGAACTGAATAGAACAGGGGTGCCACACTCGGTTTCATTGAGGGCCGCATCAGGGTTGTTTGACCTCAGAGGGCCAGGCTGGGCGTGGCCAGCTCGATGTCACTCATGTGCCCAAATGCTCGGCCAGTGAAAAGGGGGTTCCTGAGCTCCATTTTCAGCTGCAACGGCCTCCTGCAACCCTCTGCCAGTGAAAACGGAGCTCGGGATGGCTGAGTGTGGCCCTTGCAAGCTCAGTGTTTGCTGGCAGAGGCACCGTGGGCCGGCCCTTTGCTGTTTCCGGGGTGGCTCCACGGGTCAGATATAAGCACCCCATGGGCTGGATCCAGCCTGTGGGCCTCGAGTCTGACAACCCTGGACTGGAAGGACAATATTAACAGACTGCAGAGTTTTAAAAAAACCAAGGCTCACCAAAGGGCTGAAGAACCACAACCGTTCGGTTCCGATGAAAGAGGATGCAGCCGGCAAGGAAAGGAGCCCCCGTCGGCCAGCATCTTCCGGTCGGGCAAGAGCGGATGCTAACTGAAAAGCCCCCCCCCCCCCCCACGTGGGGTCATGAAAGGCGGGACGTCCGCAGAGATCCCGGTTGTCCAACGGGCGCTTTTCAAAAGGCAACTGCCGTTCCTGGGTTTCCTCCTTTCAAAGCGTTTCACTTCCCACCCAAGAGCTGAAGCAGCTTCAAGGGAAAACCAAGAGCCCCCGTTGCCGTTTGGAAAGGAAACCTTTGGAGGGAGGGAAAGGCAGAAGCCCCCTTCGTGACCTGAGCTGAGGGAAAAACTGCCAAGTGTCACCAGACGATCCCTGGGAGGCCAAGGGGGGACGGGACGGACATGGGTGCCGTGGTAGCTAATCCGTGGCACTCCGTGAGACACAAAAACCCCTCAGCCAGTCTGAAATAACTGAAACGGCTGCCATTTTTAATATATACATGGGCGTATATATACATTATGTAAATTTTATTAAAAAGTTATGTCCTCCTGCTAACAGGACAGAGGAGGCCTCTATATAACCGAACCATCAAAGAACAGAACAGCTGCAGCTCCAGGAATCGATCTCTGCCAAGAGCCACTATAAAAGAAAGGGGCATCTGAGGTCCCCCAAAACTTAACTTCAAATTTTACAACATTAAACCAAAGGGGGAGAGGGGTGTCACAGGCCAGCCATAAAAACTCTTGTGCAGCCACACACTCAGATTGGCCCTTAAGCCCGCCCGCCCACCCCCCTTTGTTGCTCAGGAGGGTGTACCCCTTCTTGGTCCCCTTCCCAACTGAAAAGGAAGGAGCAGGCCATGGGGGGGGGGCTTCCAGAGGCGAGGGGGGGATCACTGCCTTCTCCAGCCCTAATCTGGCCGGGGTGGAGAGGGGGAGAGACATGCACCATCCAGAACCTTCAGCAGCAGATAGCCAAAAGCCCAGCAGGCATCAGTAATGCCGCTGGTAGGAGCCCAAAGCCTGCTGGGCTGGGGGCACTGCCCGGGCCTGGCCCACCGTCTGGCTCACCAGGTGGGAGAGGGCGGGGCCGCTCTGGATCAGGGTGTCCAAGGCCTTCTGCACGCTGGGGTTGTCGAAGTTGATCCCCAGGGATGGTGCTGGGCGCGAGGCAGCCACATTATTGGGCGCAGGGGGCCGGCTCTGGTAAAGGGGCTGGGACGGCTGTGGGGGAGCCGAAGGTCGGGGACCAGCCACCCTAGAGGAACCCGGATGGTTGGTGAACTGGGCGGCCTGGGATGGAGCTCGCTGCTGAGACTGAGGGATGCCAGCCACACCCAGCTGTGGGGTGCGGCTGGCCGTGCTGGGCCCGGAAGAGAACCCTGGATTCGGAGACACCCCCACACCTGAGCCGCCCCCGGTCGCCACGTTCACCGCAGCAGTGGATGCCCCGCTGTTGAAGAGGCTGAGGATCTTGGCCTGCAGCTCCTGCTGAGGGTTGGAGGGCCCGGTGGCTGCGGCAGAGGCTGGCAGAGGCTGGACGCTCTGGTGCCCCTGGGAAGCGGGCACTAGGGATCCTGACGTGGCTCCCATCGTCTGCCTAGGAAGCGAAGCTGTGAGGAGGGAAGCCGGCAAGGTGAGCCCTGCCCCACAGCCTTCTGGATCTCAACTGCCCTCCCCCCACCCAGCAGTCTGTGGGGGTGAAGGGGGGTCAGGCTACCCGGGCTTACCGGGAAGGGGCTCAGCAGTGGCACGCAGCTGCCGTTCTTTGCGTTCCCGCAGGTAGTTGATGATCTTGTCCGTCTCCTCCCCGGTCAGGTAGCGGTTGTCCGCCAGCAGGTTTAGGAGGGCCTGCATGGCTGGGGGGTGGGCCCCCCGGAGACCCTCCTCGGCCGGCAGGGGGCGCTCTCGCTCCTGCAGGATGGTCTCGTCGGCCATCTTGGCTGCCCGCCTGGCAATCTCCTCCCGCTCCTTCTCGCGGACCTCGGACTTGTAGCGCTCATAGTTCTTGGCCACCAGCACCATGGCGTCTGCCTGCGGCATGTTCCGGTGCTCTGAGCAGGAGGAAGAGGAGAAGCCGCCGTGGGCCATGAGTCACCCTTGCATCCAATTTGCTGCTCTGGGCAGCTTACAACTGAAAGAAAACTAGAATATCGTGAATCCAGCCCGTCCCGAAAAGAAAACCCATCTCTATTAAAAAGCAGGAGGAGAAACCTGTGCCCACAGACACAGACCCAGGTTTTCATGGCGTTGTGAGAGCCACAGGATGGGCAAGTGAGGCGGGGGAGGGGAGGGGAGGCAACCACCTGCTGTCCATCACAAAGGAACAAAGCCGGGGAGGGGGGTTAAGTCCACCTGGGGTAAGAGGCTGCTACAGCCCATAATACTCACAGGGAGGGCACCAAGTGGGATTCAGGCACAAAAAGCCTAACTCCCCGCAGTGCCCAGAGTTAATGCCAGGACTGCCTCTCTCAGAAACCGGATGGGATTCTGCAGAAGTAGACCAGGCTGAGTGAGGGGGCTTCCTGCAGCTCCCCCTCCTCCTCATGCTGGGGGCTTTTGTGTGTTTTAACCTCTCTGAATGCCTGACCAATCTTTGCCAAGGGTCTTCCAGCCGAGGTCCCCGAGTCAATCTCCCTCCTAAAATTTTTCAATAAAATTAAATTCCAAATGAAGCAGCTGAGTGACCCAATTTTGGCCCGAATTTTGAGGACTACGAAGAGCGGGTTCTGCTCGGGATCCAAAGGCAAAGAGCACAGAAGATGGCACGACCTCAAGGCTGCTTTGGTGGGGGGGTCTGCCAACCGCATACACAACGTGACCAGGCAGCTTGCATCATGCCCTACTTTATTAAACCGCTGAGCCTGTCAGCCTGGCTGGCCTGCACTAAGCCTCAAGCCAAGCGATGGGGGGGCCGCCTGGCACTCCCTGGAGGCACTGAGTGGGGCTGGGGGAGGAGCCTCTACCTTGGGGAGTGCCGAACATGATGTTGACGGTGCAGGAGTGGTGGACCTGATGCTGGGGGGTGATGACGATGGCGAAGGCAGAGCCCCCCTGGCTCACATCATCCAAGGCTTGCTGCAAGGACATCTCCGAGTTGAGAAAGATCAGGTCCACCATCATGCCCAGGTCACGCACCTTACGCCCCACCGACTCGGCGTAATCCCTGTGTTGGGCGGAAGCCCAGAGAACAGTGTCTGCCCAGTGCATCTGCCAAAGGGCACCGCCAGAGGAGCCCACGGCTGGCCCTGCCCAGCTGATGCCCCCCTGCCAGCCACCTACTTGGTCTGCTTGTTGACCACAATGACGGAGCAATCCACCGGCCGCTCGGCATCGATGCACTTCTTGATGTCCTCAAAGAACTGCCGGTACAGCTCTTCCCGGCGCCTCTCCTCTCTCTTCATGCGCTCTGCAGGGAAGGTCGCCGGCATGAGGGCCGGCCCCCGCCTCCCCCACCCCGCCCCACCCTCCATGCGCAGCCGGGCGGTGCCTGACCTTCGGTGCTCAGGGTGGGCCTGTCCAGGGGCTCCCCATAGCGCTCGTAAGAGGGCTCTTCCCGCCTGCGGCAATAGTCGTCCATACGGGCGTAGCGGTCATAGCCTTCCTCTCTCCTGCAGAGAGGCCAGCAGCAGTCTGTCAGCTGGGAGGGGGCCCAACCCCTCCCCAGCAGCCCACCTCCCCCTGCACCTACCTGTACTGGGGCTCTCTGGCCTCCCTGAAGCGGTCGTAGAGAGGCTCTCGGGAATCTCGCACGTCCCGGGAATCTCTGGGGTCTCGGTGATCTCTGCCCCCCCGCAACTCTCGCGCCCGAAGGTCCCGTCCGTCCCGGGAATCTCGGCCATTCCTGCCATCTCTGCGTGGGCTGCCCCGGTTGGGAGAGCGATCCCTCCGTGCGTCTCTCTCGCCGAAAGGGATGGGCTCCCTGCCGGAAGGACCGGGAAAAGCCCTTAAGAGGGAAGGGGGTCAGGGGAGGGAACCAGACCGTTGTCCACGTCAAAGTCTAGAAAGGCAGCCGCACAATCTTGGCCTCCCTCTGGGGCGTGGCCTAGTGCTCATGTCCAGAGCAGGCAAGCAGCGCAAGGCAAACGATGGAAGATTCCCAAGGCAGGAAAGAGGTCTGGGAGGCGCCCTCCCTTCCCTGGCAAGGCCCCAGCCAGATCCCAAGCATTAACAGCGCCTTGCTCCAAAAGGAGGCTGGCATGAGCAGCCCAGGAGGCTGGCTCAGCCTCGGGAACCGCTGCTGGAATTCAGCAAGACCAACCTTGGCCCCGAAGGAAGCTTATGGGGCCACTGAAGCCAGTGGCTGGCAGAAGCTGAGCGTCCTGGGGGGAAGTGGGAGACACACCCCAGCCAGCCTGGAGCAACTCCCCACTTGGAAAAGGCCACCGTCGCATTTCCCGGGAGCCACGACACAGCCCTGCTTAGGACAGGAGTGGGCCAAACTCCTGAGAGACAAGCAGGGCGAGCTGATCTTCCAGAAGGGTCAAATTAGCCAGGGAAGCCCTCCCCTCCCCTCCCCACCACAGCATCAGCGCTGCTGGAGCCCCGGCTGCAGCTGCCTCGAGAATAACTGGAAGAGTTCCCTGCCCTGCTGCGCAGCGACCCGCGGAGAATTCAGGAGATGTGGAATGACTGCACTTTTAATCCGTGGTATCCCTCACCAAAAGCTTTGTGCCGATTAGGACAATACACTTAGGGATTCTTTGACTTCACATAAGCAAAGTCTGATTTTCGAAGTCCAAATGAACCATCTATTCCAGGGGGATACAAGAAGGGCCAGAGAATCGGAAAGGATGCCCAAAGTCTGTTTAAAGAAGAGCCAGGCAAATTCGGGGCAGGACAGCAGCAGGTAGAACCGTGAAGAGAAGTTGGGGCAATGCCCTCCGCTGCGCTCGGCAGATGTAGGCAGGCGACAGGGGCTCCGGAAGGACTCCAACCAGATGACCCCCCCCTCCCAACACTGTCCCTTTCTTCCCACCAGCACCGGGGTCAAGGCAATGCCCAGGCACTCGCATGCGCGCTGCCCACAGCCTCCAGACAACGCCAGGCTCAGGCACCCGCGTGCGCATCGCCCACCGGCATCACGAGTAATGCTTGGGCCCATGCTTGCGCTTTGACCCAGGGTCCCCCAGGACATCCCAGCTCCTGCCCTGGTGGGAAGTGTCTTCAGGTCAGAGGCTGTGCACAGCTCTGTGCTGATGCCAGCAGATGCACCCATGTATGGTGGGCACAACGCAGGTGGAGTGCCAAAGGAGGACCGAAGAATCCTCTGCCAAAGGAGATCTCGCATCCATCTTCGGGGCAACGTGGTGGCAAACCAGGGCCGCCTCCTTAAGGGGAGCTGTTCCCCTGAGGTCTCTGCCCTCAACGCAACCCTATGGCGGCCCATGGTGGGGCCACCCGAGGCGTTCCCCAGGGACGCCCCTGAGTCGAAAAGAGAGCCATGCTCTCCTCCCTCACCTGAGGCGCCCAGGAGGTTCGCCAGGGCTGGGAATCCTGCCAGATTCCCCTCGGAGAGGCTCCACCGGGGCCTGGGAGGCAGCGCCGCTGAGCCAGGCAACTGGTTGCTTCAGAGTACTTTACCTTCGCGACGGGCTGGACCTTGAGGGAGGCTTATTCATTTCTCTTCTTTCCGCTGCTTTATTAATATCTGAAAAGAATAATCAACCCATCTGTTCAATGCTATGAAACAAAGAAAAGATCGTCAGTATACTGAAAAGAAAGCAACAAACATGAAGCCAGGAAATTGACACAAGGAAACAATGAGCGTCAAAAAACCTTTATTCACATCCAGGATCCGGCAGGCAGAGACGGCCGGGGAAGGCCTCCGTTCTGAGGCAGCCCCCAAGACAGCTAAGCCCCTCATCTGCCAGGGTGACGCAAGTGGCTTCAGCACACAAAGGCCCCAGCAGCCTTGCAACGAACCCAACGCGGCTCCCGCAAATGGAGAAAACGGGCTGGGAAGGGACCGCTTCCCTGGTGGAACCCGGCCGTCCAGCCTGCCTCAATTAATTGTACAAATCTGAATATATAAACAAAGCAACGGCACCATTTTTTCCCTTTAAATGGCTGTTTCGAGAGACGCAAAAAAAGGATCACAAGGAGGGCTGCTTTTGAAATCAGAGAGAATGAAGAAAAGGAGGAATTCCCACCCCACCCCCGGCTTCTCAGGTGGGACCTGCCTCCACAGGCCTCTGGAAATACTTACGGCGCCCCGCCCCCCCCCCCCCCCCCCCAGTGAAAGAGTAGAAATTCACTCCTGCTCAGCCTGGGTCAGCCATGTTTGGAGAGGCAGGTTCTTCTATTGGGGTGCGACCAGGAGCCCCCTCCTGGCCCCAGAGCCGTCCCAGGGGGAAGGCCTGCCAGTTCGCCATACAGAATTTGGAGCAGATGCTTCTCCAAAATGGCTCCCCGTTGTTTTCAGAGGAGAGGCGGCAGAAGGGGACAGAGAGAGACCCCGGAGGGAGCCGACACACGCAGAAACCACTGAGGCACGCACAGCTTCATCTCAAGCCACGAGACGGCCTTGCTCTTCAAGTGCCCTCACTCTGAGGGAAGCGCCAGGAATGTCCCACAAGGCTCCCACCCAGAGCCCTTCTTCCACCCCCTGGATTGGGAAGGCTTTCCCACTGCCCCCAAAGGGGTACCCGCTTCTCTCCCCAGCCATGGGCCCAATCACAGCTCTGCTGGGACATCGGCCGGCACATGCAGCCAGGCGGGACGCAGGGCCATTAAGTCATTTCCCTGACTAAATAAAAGTCCACTTTAGCAATAAGGCTTATATACGGCTCCATAGTGCTGTACAGCCCCCTCTGGACAGTCAGCATCTTCCTCCCTCCCCCAAACAATCTGGGTCCTCCTTTTTCCGACCTCGGATGGATGAAGGCTGAGTAAAGTCCTGGCTGTTGGACAGCTATTTGTCTGAAACATTATGGGGTCTTGAGCAGGGGGCTGGACTAGAAGACCTCCAAGGTCCCTTCCAGCTCTATTCTGATTGAAATTGATTGTTGAGAGTGATCTTGGGGATCATCCCATCTACCCCCTGTCCAAGAGTAAGCCCAGCAAGGGTCAGTGGAAGCTGCCCATCCCCCATCCCCTCCAGCCTCAAGTGTCCCCTGGAATTGCAGCACATCTCCTGGCAACGGCCACTTTCCCTCCACTCTCACCACTGCCTTCCGTCTCTATTCCGGTCCTGCTAGATCCAACCAGGCACAACCGTCTGAAGTTGGGCTGGGCAGGAGACTCTCTGGCGCACCTCAAGAAGTAGACACAAGCCAGGGAGCAGCTTCCGACGTGGCACAAGGGGCCAGGTTGGGTTAGCTGTGGGGCAAGAGGGCAGTCGGGGCGGTGGTGCAGAGGGCGGCAGGGTTCTCGGAGCACAAGGGCTCCAGGATGACTGTGGCTGGGACTGGTTGAGGGGGCTACAGCTTTCCAGAGCATTGGAAGCAGGCCGGGATAGTTCTGGGGCTGCTTGCTGAACAGCAAGGCAGAGGGCAAGGGGGCCAAAGGGCAGAAATGGTGAGGGAAGATAGGCAGGTGTGGGGAGCAGGGGGCAGTTATAACCCTAATGAGGCTCGGGGCTCTGACAGGGCCAAGCCCGGAATGGCCTGGATTGGGGTAGGTCCTCGCTTAACAACCTGCGATTCTCAGTTAATAACTGCAATAGGGAATGCTGGGACTGCGTGGTCGGCGTGGTCCTATGGCATCTCATTTAGGACTGCATTGATCTGCAATGGCAATCCCGGTCTCCACCGAGGTCATAACCTGAGGACAGCCTGAAGAGGGAAAAAGGGAGTTCTAGCTGCAGAGCTCCTTCTGGTGGCTGCCAGAGCCAGTGGAGTTCAGCCCTTCCGTTGCTGCGCTGACCCGAAGCTGACCCGGGTGGTATGAACCTGCCATCAGCTTCTCCGGAATCCCTGCCTCTCAGCCCTTTTCACCCCACGTGGCTATGGAGGACAAAAGGGAGGCAGAGGTGTGTGGGCACCGCCCTCCCCCTTCCTAGCTGGGGGGGGGTAGGGTACGGGAAATAGGAAAGAAATATGGCCCCTGACCTCCTTCCTCGAAGCAAAAGCATATTCAAGAAGAGACAGCCTTCAGCCCACCCTCTTCCTTCTAATGGGTGCAGGCAGGTGCCTGGTCTCAATGGCTCCCTAGCAACCTGCACTGTGCCAGCCGGGTAGAGCAGAGTGGATTATTGCCGTTTCCTCTTCCACGGGAGATGGTTTTGGAAGACCGGATTCTCCTCACTGAGGGAGGGAGGGAGGCCTTCCTTTCCAGGTTTCAGAATAATTCTAGCTTGCCGACACAGAGTCGTTTATCTTCAACACTCTACACATTTTGTTTGCCGACCCCAACACAGGTAGCTTGAAGGACGGCTCAGGACGGCTCTTGTAAGCATCTCCTTGGTTTGGTCTTCCGTTTCCGCTTCTTGGCTGCAGATGTACTTAAAATGCGCTTCAGAAATGCACGAAAGCGAGCCCCCCCCCCGCCCCCCCCCCCCAGCGAGTGACTTTCGGGTCTTCTTGGGCTGAAGGCATCGTATGGCCTTTCCAAAGGCCCAGCTTTGCCCGCCGTTTCTCTGCCCCGCACCCAAGCACTGCTTCACCCCTCGAGTTCTCCAGGCTCCCCACCGGCCGCCCGGCAACGCAGCGGACTGACAGGGGGGCCTCGGCGGCGGGATCCCTTTTTTGGGATCCTCCAAGGACGCAATCAAGGACGGGTCTGGGTAGCCCTCGGGGAGGGGCCAGGATCGCCCAAGAGGCTGCCATGACAGACACAAACGGGCCCCCCACCCCCGCAAGCCAAGGGGCAGCGCCGCTTGTTTGGCCCGCCCTCCCCCCTCCCTCCCTCCCTCCCTCCCTCCCTGCAAGCGAAGAGCCCGCGAGACGCAGCCGCAGCGATCCAGGCGCCGAGAGACCGGAATCCTCCCAGGGAAGCGGACGGACCACCAGCCTCCCCTCCGCCCCTTCTCAGCCGCGGGAGATGCGGGCCGGGAGGGAGGGAGGGAGGGGAGGGGAGGGGGCGGCGGAGGGGCGTCAACCGGCCGCTTCTCCCGCGCCCAACTTCGCCGGGACTCCGCCGGAAGGCCCGGCCTGCTGCGGGAGGGGCAGGGGGGGTTGTGGGGCTCCGCGAGGGAACCGCCCTGGGAGGGGGCGGGGGGGGGGGGGGGGGGTCGGGGGCGCGCGCGGAGGAGAGAGGAGGAGGCGGGCACGAGCGCCAAAGAACACAACAGCCACAGGCGGGAAGGAGCGTTTATTGCCGGCCTCCCGGAGGAGGGGGGAGGGGGAGGAGCGCCCGCGCGAGACCCGCCCCGCCCCCGCGCGCCGCCGCCGCCGCCGCCGCCGCGCTCGCTCGCTCAGTCACTCACCGGGTGGGCCGGGCCCGGCCGCGATCCTCTCGCCTCACGACGCTGCAACGGCCTCCTCGCCCCCCGCGACGCGTCGCCACCGGAGGGTGTGGCCGGGCTTTCCGCTTCCGGGCCGTCCGTCCGTCCGCCCGTCGCGAGCGACCCCGCCCCTTCCTCCCGTGCTGGCCAATCTGCCCCTGCGCTTTCGCCTGGCCTCCCTCGCGGCGCCCCGGACTTCAACTCCCACAAGCCTCCCGGCGGCTGGCCGGAAGCGAGAGGCCGGAGGCTCCGACTCTCCGGACGGGGGGAGACGGAATCGGCCTCTTTCGCTTTCGGGGTCTTTAGCTCCGACTTTGCCTCGTCGGGGGCGCTCCCGGCCTTCGCCGCGCCCCCCCGGTTGTGCCCCCTCTGACCCGGCCCCCTTGCCCCACTTTGGGCGCTCCTGGCCTCGGCCTGTGCCCCCTCCCCGCCCGCCCCCCATCCGGCTGAGATTCCCAGGCCGAAGCCCCCCCTCCTCCCCCCGCAATTGGGTGGTCCAGTCAAGCGTCGGTTCTTTCTCGTAGCTCCGGGGGGGGGCAGGGGGTGATCCGCCGCAGCCTTAGGGACCCCCCCCCACAAGCCCCCTGGGATACGGCGGAGTTGGGGGGCTCCCCTGCTGCAGCATCTGCCCTCCCCAGAGATCCAAAGCCCCCCCCCCAAAATAGCCTTGCTGGTCTTGAGGATTAAAACAGGGTCGTTTCCCTCCCAGCCTTGGGCTTAGGGCAGCTATGTGGTGTATTTATTTTATTGATTGAATTTATATACCGCCCTTCTCCCCGAAGGGACTCAGGGCGGTGAACAGCCGAAAATTAGTTGTGTGTGGGGGGGGGGCTTTCGTCTGGTTTTATTCCCGGGGGTGGGGGTGGGGGTGGGTAGAGAGCTCCCCTCGCCCTGCAGTTGAGCAGCCTCGATTGGAGTCCTTCCGAAGGCTCACAGACGAGAACTGGCTCACTTCAAGCCACGCAGCCCACAACCGAGAATTATTCTCTGAGCATCCACTGCAAATAAATAGGATTGTCCCCCGGATCTGCCTTTCCTTTTCCTCTGAGTGAAGTGTCTCAACAGATGGGCGTCTGCAGGTGGGGTCAGCTCTGCATGGTCCATCACGTGTTTTGCCAACCTGCTTTCAGAGTTTATGGGGGGGGGGCTGGTGCCCAGTAGCTTCTTATCCTTTTAAAGAGAGCTTTCGCAAGGGGGCTGAAGAGAGGCCCCCACACGCACACACACACACGCACAATATGTCAGCAAACCGAAGTGAGGAGCAGTTGTAGGGGCTTTTTCTGCTGAAGAGATGGGGAATGGGGAGGGGCTTTCCAAGGCCATGGGGCCACCCACAGCCCCCCCTCCAGCGCCGGATTTTCCTATAGGCTAACTAGGCTTCAGCCTAGGGCCTCAAGATCAAGAGGGGCCTACATTCAAATTGTTAGCAAAATTAAAATTACACTTTCACTATGGGTGAAAGGGCCTCATAAGTGGAATAGCCTAGGGCCTCTTTGCATCTAAATCCGGCCCTGCCCCCCTCCCTCGCCTTTTCCCAGCAGGCCTCCAGCCAAGCGTCACGCCGAATGGGGAAGTGGCCCCTACTGGGGTTTTGAGTCCGGGATGAGGGGACATTCCTCTCTCCCTTGCCAGATGGAAAGCCCCAGGCCTGGGGGGAGGGGGGTATTTCCTCTGCTTCCTTATCTTCCCCCCTTTTCTCCCTCAGAAGCAGGAATGGAATTTGGGGTGCAAAATGTCACCGTCCCGTCCGTAGTTGGGTTGTGGCTGAGCCATGGCAAGAGGGGGTGGAGACCCCTCCCCAGGAAATCAGCTACAGGGCTGCCCCCAATCCTCAGTGGGAGGCACAACTGGGGCCCCTTCAGCTGACCAGCTGGGCTTGGCTGACCTTTCCTGAGGCTGCGTCACTCCAAATGGCCCCCAATCCGTGGGAAAGCCCGATAGGCATTGGGGATGCCCGTTCTGCTGGACGCCTCCGGAGCGCTGCCCTTTCGCACGCCGACCCCCAGACCCTATTGCTGCTATGGCCGCGAGAGCTCCGCCTCTTATTGGACGTCCCCTGCCCACAACCACCCCGCGAGGTAGGCCAGTCTCAGCGCGAAAGGACGGACGAAATGGGGGGGGAGGGTTGTTACTTGTCGCCCCTGACCGAGCTCGGGACTTCCCTCGGGGGGGATTCCCGGCAGGCGGGTGCGAGGGTCGGGCGGAGTAGGGCGCCGCCCCTGGAAGCTCGGCGCCCCGCCCGATGGGCCGGCGAGAGCCCCGCCGCCTTCCCGCGCCTATAAAGGGGTCGGGATGGAGGCGGCGGGCAGAGGCGGCGCCGATGGAGGGGCGAAGGTTGGCGGCGGGGCTGAGCGCGGCGGTTCTGCTTACGGTGAGTTTCGCTTTCGCCCCGCGCTCCGCCCGACGCGCCCCGGGAGCCCCCGCGAGTCCCGGCTGGGCGCCGCCCGGGAATGCGAGCTCAGCCTGCGGCGACACCCAGCCGCCTCCCCGCCCGAGTTCCCCTTTCGGCACCCGGGCTTCTCTCCGGCAGCTGGAGCCCAGCTGAGCCCGGGCGCCGCCGCCTGATCCGTCCGGCTTCTCTCCGGCAGCCGCCTTTATATACTGACTTTTATTACTGTATAGCGATATCCCGCCTTTATTAATGTTTATGACTAACTTACGGCGAGGAAACATACCTGATGCTCCCTCCTCCTCCTCCTCCTCCTCTCCCCACGATAACCCTGCCAGGTGGGTTGGGCTGAGAGAGTTACCGGCCCGAAGTCACCCAGCCGGCTTTCGTGCAAAGGGCAGACCGAGAGCAAAGCGGCTCGTGGTGGTCTCTGGCCGGCCTGAGTGGCAGTAGCTCCCCCCCCCCGCTTGCTAGCAGCCCCCTCCTGCTGGCTGGCTGGCTGGCTGGCACAGGGGGAGGGCGAGTCCCCTGGGAGAGGAGGGCAAAGGGCGGGAATGGTGTCCAGGTCTTTTGGCCTGGCAGAATTGTGTCCTTTTATTTTGTGTGTGTGTGCTGGCCAACTTTGGGGGCCCTCTGCACAAAAAAAAAAATCAGTAGTGGGGGGGGGACCGTCATCTTCCCTGCACTCCCTGGTGTCTTCTTCATGGGTCTGTGAAGCGCTTGATAACTATATTCACTCGTTTCCCTCATGGTTCAGTTTGGGGAACTGGTAGCCAGTGTGTTGGTTCCATAAGGGTTCACTAGCATTGGGCCAGGGCAGAAAATGCCATCTGGAACGAGCTCCCCCCGGAGATACGGGGGGATTACAGACCTGCACGCTTTCCGCCGTGCCCTCAAAACATTCCTATTTCAGCTCTTTTTAAACTGTTTTTACATTTTTTAAATTTTAAATTTGTTTTATAAATTTGGGGTGTTTTAAATTTTGTTTTTCTGGGCCAAATTATTTAATTGTATTTTAATGGTTTTTTAACATTTGTATTATATGGATTTTATCTTTTGGCTGTTCACTGCCCTGAGTCCTTCAGGAGTAGGACTGTATACAAATTTAATGAATAAATAAAAATAAAATAAATAAAAAGGTGACGTGGTATGTAGTCTGGATTCCCAAAGGGGGGGGCTGCATTCCAGAGGACAAAGAGGCATCAGAGTTTGTTGGGGAGGAAGGGAGTTAAGAGGGCTCCTCCTCAGAGAGTCTCAAGAGAATTCTCTGTAATATGCAAATAGTTGCTTTAGTTTGGCAAGTTTCTGTCTGTGGGTGAGGAACCGTAAAGGAAACTGCTCAGAAGAAACTCCACCTGCCTTTCCTGATTTGGGGGCCTGACATGAGGTTAAGAGAAATGCTTTGCCCCCAGTGGGGGTACAGCCTAGATGCCACAAACGGTTCCCCAGGGTTGAGGTTGGCTGGTTGGCTCCCAAAATCCACCTCTGGGTAGGCTGGCTTCTGGGCCCAGGGCAAGGGGAGGCTGGGGAGCCCCCCCACCCATCCCACCCCCCACCCTGGGCAGTTCTGTCCAGGGAGGCCAAAGGGAGAAAGAAGCAGGACTTTCCCGGGAGGTTGCTGGGGGGCGGCTCTTCCGTTGGCAGCCCAGCTGTTGCTAAAGCTGCTCCTGCCTAGTTTGGGAAGAGGGAACTTGACCCCTGCCAGATGTGGGGCTGGGCATCTTGGTTTCTCTGCCAGATGGGGAGACCCGATACCCGGCTGTTTGAGAGGGAACCCGGCCTTCCCAGTCCTTGCAGTCGGGGGGGGGGGGGAAGCGGGGGGTGGCGGATGCCTGTGTGGCCACTAATCGCCTGTGGTGTTTCTAGTTGCAGGGCCTGGCCTTCGCGCAGGGGCCCAGCTGCAGCCGCACTCAGTACCCGTCCAACGGCAGGTGCTGCAGCCGATGCCCACCAGGTAGAGTGTGGGTGCGGGGCAGCTGCCTCTTCCCCAAGCGTTTTATTCGTTCTGCCCCTCACCCTGCTTAGGGCAGCTCCTGAGCCGCCTCCTGCTCTAACTTGGTGGGCGGGGGGGGGCAGGAGCCCTTTTCCCATCTAAATCCAGCTCCTTGGTTCCCCTGGGGCTTCTCTGCCCCTCCGTTGCTCATGCAGAAACAGGCCCCTTGGACGCCTCCAGGTCTGCCCGGCTGGGGCCGTTTCCCCCTTTGCAAAGTCCCTGCTGTCCCCCATCCCCAGAGAGGTTCCTCCAGAGCGCCATCCGCCAGCGCCCCCCTGTTCCAGCCTCAGCCCTGCCTGTTTCCTCCCTGTCTTGCAGGCCACAAAGTGGCAGCTGCCTGTTCGGGGGAGTCCAATACGACCTGCATCCCGTGTGAGGAGCAACACTTCCAGGCCAACTGGACCAAGGAGTCTCACTGCACCCCACACCACATCTGCAACCAGAGTGAGTGCAGCTGGGGCTCCCTTTGCTCCACTGGAGCCATCCTGCCCAGCAAAGCCCCCCTCCCTTTATGGGGTCCCTGGCGCTCTCTGAGCTTGGCTGTTTTCATGCAGACGTTTCGTGACCCAACCAGGTAAAGTCATCAGTAAACATCAACCTCACGGATGATGTTCCCTAGTTGGGTCACAAAACGTCTGCATGAAAACAGCCAAGCTCAGAGAGCGCCAGGGACCCCTCATTTCAACCCTGAGCTACAAACGCCTGTTGGTACCCTCTCCCCTTTCAGAAGCTGGCCTGATTGTCTATCGGAACGGGAGCAAAGAGCGAAATGTCATCTGCCGGTGCCAGGAGGGTACCCACTGTTCCAGCCACGAGTGTAATACCTGCCGGCCACACACCTCCTGCGGCGCAGGGGAAGGGGTCCAACAGGAAGGTGAGGGCAGCGACCCCAGGGCCTCCAGTTTAGATGGAGGGCTGGCCCCTCTGGGCTGCCCAAGGAGCTTCTGGCCTCTCAGACAAAGGCCCCTCCCTGAAAGATCCCAGGACAGGGTTGGGTTAGCCCCCGCCTCCACCCTCTTCTGCTGCAGGTGGGCGAGGGAGGAGGGCCTGGAAGCTTCCCTCCTGGCGGGAGCTCCTTGCGTCCTTAGTTAGCCTGCCATGCACCCAGGCAAGGGGTGTGTGGATGGGGCTGGTGCAGGATCGGAAGGCAGGGCTGCCTGCTGGATATGGCATCAGCCTAACGGCAACTCTTATCTTGCATATTTCCAGGCAGCCATGCAAATGACACTCTGTGTGCCCCCTGTGCTCCGGGCCATTTCTCCAATGCCTCGTCCTCCACAGCTCGGTGCCAGCCCTGGAGCAGGTATGCCAGGTGGGGGACCGTCACAGAATGGCCACTGGCCCCTTGAATGGCCGGCTCACCCGGCCCAAGGGAAGAGCAGACGGGGAGGGAAGGCCACAGCGTTCCGCCCTGCGGGCCAAGAGCTCAAGATTGTCACTCCGGCAGGCGATAAAATGGTGGCCGACACCATCTGTCCGTGGCAAGCAGTCAGTGGCAAAGCCCCTCCCCTCCCCCTCCCTTCAGAGGTGCCTGAACGAGCCACAGTTCCATCCCAACGGCCTTGCGCCCTCAGCTACACGCATGCGGTGCAGGAAGAAAAGGGTGGAGTTCACACCAAAGGGTGCAGTTTGCCCTGTGCCAGCTGGTCAGAGCCTGTGGCTCTTGCAGGATGTGCTGCTGGGTCGGGTGCCCCGGGGGGGGGGTGTCTGCATGAGTGCTCCCCCACCCCGCCCTCCGACCTGGCAAAGTGTGCAGTTGTGCTCTGCTGCTCTTCTGCCTGGAGTCTCTCTGTGAACCGCTTGGCTGGAACCCCCGGGGAGGCCTGGCTCTCTCCCGCAGCAGCGGCTGCTTTGCGTTGGGGCCCGTGGGGAGGGGGCAGGGTGCCATTTGCATGCCATGCCTTCTCAGGCCGCTCTGTCTTCGCAGGTGCCAGGAGGGGCAGGTTCAGAAGGCAAACGGCACACGGGCAACGGACGTCATTTGTGGTAAGCAAGGGCCGGAGGACCAGAGGCCACTCAAGGAATGGGAGGGGGGGTGCGTGCATGTGTGCATAGAAACCCAGCTGTCAACCTGCCCCCTAAGTGCCCTGCTGTTTGTGGGGGGGGAGGGGCTTGGCCAAGAGGCCGAGCAGGGAAGCCCATATTGGGGGCTGCAGCAGGCGGCCTTCTTCTTCTTCTTCCCGCAGAGGCCCTCCCGTTGCCCCACGAGGCCAGGAAGAGCCACCTGCTGGTGCTGCTCCCGATTGCTGCCTTCCTGCTGGGGGCACTGCTTTTCTTGTGGCATCGACGTGGCAAATGTGAGTGATGGGGGAAGGCTTCGGAGGAGGGTGGACAGACCAGAGGCAAGCGGGGGGGGGCTGCCTCTGGGGGAGCCCGGGGGTGTCCATGCAGAGGGTGGGGGGGGGGGGGGGGGGGGGGGGGGGGGGGGGGGGGAATTTTCTACCCAGCCTCTGGCTCAGTATTCTTTAAAGAACGCTCCCTGTGCTCAGCCCCCCACCCCCAGGCCTCTTACAGGGTGGGGGAGGGGGAGGAGGAGCAGGAAGACGGGGGTCCCCAGGGACAGAGCAGGTGGGTGGGGAGGCTTCAGGGACAAGTTCCTGGGTCTTCAGACTCAGATCCACTTTGCTTCCCAGTCCAGCCTGAACCCCAACTCTGTCCATGCTGGGGAGGGTGGGAGAGAGACTCAGCCACAGGAGTGGCCTGTCTCTTCCACCTGCCGTGGAAACTTTGCTCTAGAGCAGGGCTCTGGTGCTGGGTTCCCTCCCCTGATGGGCCCAGCAGCCAATGGGTAGAGCAGGCCTCCTCTGGATGGTCCCGCCGTTGATGTCTTCTTTCCTCCTGCCTAGGTCCTCGGAAGCGGCACCAGGATCTGGTAGGTGCTCCTTTTTGTGGCCCTCCTGGGTGGAGGGGGGACCGGGGCCAGGCCACTGGACCAAGAACAGCACCTGGGGCTGAGGCTCCAAGAGCAGCCTTGCCGTGGATGATGACGGGGGGCAGGACGGTGCTAGGGGAGCTCTGCCAGCAGAGCCTCCAATGCCCTGCTTCTCTTGCAGCCCCCGGAGCCCACCGAGAACGAAGAGACTGCCTTCCCCACCCAAGAGACCCTGCTGGGGGAGCAGGCGGGCATGCAAGAGAAGGACTGCCGTCTCGCCCAGCAGGAGCAGGTCTGACCAGGAAGCCGTGGGGATGCGAGGCCAGCTGCACAGCCGGGCCGCCTGCCTCTCTGCACCCCATGCCCGGCAGCCATGGGGATGCTGTGTCCTGCCAGGGGCCTCCTTGGCTCCTCCAGAGCCCGGTGCTGGAGACGGATTCCCCAAAGGGAAGGCTGGCAGGGCAAAAGCTTTCCTCAAAGGGCCCTGAGCGTTCTCGCCACCTGGATCCTGGCACCAGTTGTACCAAGCTCTCTTCCTGGAAAGATCCCGGGCACCCCCTGGCAGGGGCCCTGGGTGGGAGCAGTGCAGCAAGGGGGCTGGGTTGCCCCTCCCGGGGGCCCATCAGAATGACTGCCGTCTGCAAAGATGGGCAGGCATCCGAGCCTGCCTGAGCTTACAGCTGTCCCAAAGGCTTGTGTGTTGTGGCCTCCCAGATGTAGGGAAAGGCTGGAGGGGGGGGGCTCCATAAGCCCCTCCTCCTCTACTCCGAGGAATCCACCAGCCTGTGCTACCTCATGGGGAGCTGCAGACTGACTTTTTCCTCTTTCCCAGCCCCATAGAATGGTCTGGGTTGGGGGGCAGCTGAGCTGGGTTCAGATGAAGGAGGCTGGTGAGGAGGCTTCTCCCCATTTGACAAGGCCTGGGCTCTGCCACGCAGGGTGCCCCTTCTGGCAGCTTCTCTCTGCCCTTCAAGGGAAGTACGATCCCAGCAGGCTGAGTTTTGAGTCAAGCTGCCTCCACTTTTTCTAAAAACCTGGCAAGGTGTGGGTCTCAGCCAGGGGAGGGAGACTCCCAGCCATGGGTGAAATCCAGCAAGTTCTGACAGGTTCTGGAGAACCAGTAGCAGAAATTTTGAGTAGTTCGGAGAACCGGCAAATACCACTTCTGGCTGGCTCCCGAGTGGGGTGGGAATGGAGATTTTGCAGTATCCTTCCCCTGCCATCCCCACCAAGCCACGCCCACAGAACCGGTAGTAAAAAACTTTGGATTTCACCACTGCTTCCAGCCCCCCCCCCTCGCCCAGATCTGCCCTGGAGGCCGGTGGATGGGCTCTGCAGGGCTTGAACTGAAACCGGAAGCAAAAGGGAGCAAATGGGTTCTTGGGAAGGCAAGTCCCAGTGGGGGGGCTCTTGGTGGTCTCCGGAGCAGCGCCTGGTCCTGCTGGCCGGGGCCTTTGGTGGCAGCCAGCTCTGCTGTCCAAATCTGCCCTCCCGACGGTTGGGGTTAGAGGTTGCAGCCTTCGGGAGGCTCCGTCCTCCCATCTTGGAACAGCCGGGACGGAGCACGCTTACTCTCCCATCTGCGTGTTTCTCGGACAGCAGCTCCGTGTTGGGCTTTTATAAATCTGACCTTTGGAAAAGCACACTCTGTTCTTGGGTTGATTCAAACCAACGTTGGGGGGGGGCCTGCAACCCCTGAATAGGCTTTGCCTGTGGGAGACTTCTCAGACTCCGGGAATAGGAGGCTGGCAATGGGCATCGTCCTCCAGCATGTAGACCAGCTGGAGTCCAGGGTGCCCTGGGTATGGGGTGGGAACCAACAGCCACCTGAGCGTTATGGGGAGGGGGCTTCCAGACAAGTCTGTTTCCTTATTTTTCTTGACCCACATGAATCTGGGAAGGAGGGCAGCCCCATGGAGGGATGGGCCAGCTGAGTCACCAGGCGGGGCCTTTCCTTGGAATCCCAGGGTTTTGACACCTTTCGTCATTGCACATGCATGCATGCATGCACCCACTGACACACTTTGGCTTGGCTGCAGGCTAGCCCTCCCTCCCTCCCTCCCTCCCCCCCACCCATCCAGAGAAGGTCCTGCCTTTCTCTAGAAAAATCCCAGCCTGATTTACGGAGAGACGAAGCGCGTGAACCGCCCGGCCTCCCACGGTACAAGCGGGGTTCATTGCACGCCTGGAGTCCGGACTCACAAGAGGACCATTTTGAGGAAATGCAACGGGGGGGGAGGGGCGCACAACATTTTCCCCACGGCCCCACCCGCCCTGCTGTTTGGGGGCGTTTCTTTTGCCAGCCAATAGTGGTCTATGCCCCCTTCTCCCCCCTCCCCTCCCGCCGGCTAATAGCTAGAAAGGCCACACTGGTGGAGCTGCTTTCAATTGATCGTCGCCTCTCCCGACGGGCAGCTCGCCCGCCGAGCCCGCAGCCCCTTTCCCCTCCCCCACCGGTTCAGCCTGCTGCGAGCTGGGTCCTGCCCGGCGGGGCGGGTTACCCGAGGACAGGGAGCCAACCGGCAGGGCGGGCCCTGTCTGGGTACCCCGGGCTAGCCGGGAGCCCGCCGTCGTTGGGCGGCGCCCTTCTCCAGGTCATGGACTTTCTGTGGCCACCGGGGGGCGCCGGCAACGCGCGCAAGCCGGCCCGAGCTGCAGAAGAGCTCGCCTGCTACCCGACGGGCTCCAGCAGGAGGGGCGGCAGGGGCGTCGGGCCCTGGTTCGCTTTCTCACGGGGATTCTGTCTTACGTGGGAGGGGCCCTTCCTGGCGGTACGACGACCCTTTCCTCGGGGCAACCCCCCCTCGAAAGCGAATGTCTGCAGCAGCCCCCGCTGCCATCGGGGCCCAGTCCGGCTCCCCTCCTGCCCCCCCCCCCCGCGCCTTCTGCCCTGGAGGGCTGGGCATCGACCCTGCCCGCTGATGGTGCCGGGACCCGCCTCGCCCTCCTTGGTCGAGGGGCTGCAGGCTGTGGGGGCTTGGGGGCTGTCTGGTGCCCACTTGTGGGCCTCCCCTCCTGCAGTGAAGCCGCCTTGGCTCCACTCTGGCCTGGATGCTGGTGGCCTTCGGGGCTGAATTCTGAGTTGCCCTCTGAGTACACCTACCCCTGCTCTGGCCTCCTTGCATCCCTCTTGGGCCAAGGCGGCCCTGTCTCTGAGGGGCTCCCTCACCCACCGTGCCAGAAGCAAGGAGTGGCTGGCCAGAGATAGCCCGTGCCCCTTGCCTGCCAGCCTTCTCTTCTGCTGCGGAAGGCCAGTGGGCAGGGTGCCAGCCCAGGGAGCGGGCACAGCTGCCAGGACATTGGAGTGGGAGGTGGCCTTCGAGGTGGAGGTTCTGCCCAGGTCTGAGTGGCCTCCTTCTGCAGACCAGGAGCACCTGTTGCAGGTGGGCATTGGGCACCATCCCCTCTCGGGTACTTGCAGCTGCCTGGGATTTGTGTTCTCCTGGTCCCATCTTGCAGAAGGGCTGCTCAATCCTGGTGGTGTGATCCCTCTTGGCTCTCCCCCCATCCCCCCCATGCCCAAGTTCCTCTCCACGGGTGAATGGCCCAGCTCTAGATTGCCAAATTCTGCCAGATGGTTGAGCTGGGTAACAGCAACCAAGTTGGGCAGACTAGCTGTCCTCTAGAGGGTCTCTGCCTCCAAGTCAGCTGAACCCTGGGTCAAATCAGGCTGTTCAGGAACAATTTTGGAATTTGTTGTCATTCAGTTGCTAAATCATGCCCAACTTTTTGCAATCTCATGGACCACAGCACACCAGCCCCTCCCCCCATCCTCCACTTTCTCCCAATTTCCTTGCGTCAATGATCCCATCTAACCATCTCCTCTGCCCTCCCCCTCCCCTTCTGCCTTCCATCTTCCCCAACATCGGGGTCTTCTCTGAGGAGTCCTCTCTTCTCATTAAGTGGCCAAAGGATTTGAGCCTCAGCTCCAGGATCTGCCCTTCCAAAGGGTACTCGGGGCTGATTTCTCCAGCACCACAATTCAGAAGCATCAATTCTTCGTGCTCAGCCTTCCTTATGGTCCAACACTCACAGCCGCACGTGACTCGTGGGAAAACCGGAGCTTTGACTATAGGGAACTTTGTTGGCAAGGTGATGGCTCCGCTTTGTAAAATGCCGTTTAAGTTTGCCATAGAATTTGAAATTGCAGCCCTGCAAATGTAGCTTATTCAGCAAACAATGACGCAAGGGAGCTGGTGAATAACATCATGTTTGATGTAAATCCAGTCACTGGAAAGAGGCTTTGATAAGTTGGGGTGGGGGTGGGAGACGAGTCAGGAGCTGCAAGAAAAGCTTATAAGCCAAGAACAGCCAGCCGGAGCTGGGGCTGAGGATATTCAATGATGGCCAGAAGGCGGGGAGCCCGAGCAAGGCTGCTTGAGGGATCCCCCGTACAGAAACACAGATATATGCACACAATTCTAGGCTTGGTTGAATAAAGGCTAGGTTAAAGGTGTTGTATAGGCAAACTGAAAGATGCAGGTTGCTGGTTTGCAGGTAATACAGCTGTATGAATGAAAGACAAGTTAATCTATCCCTTCCTCCATCACCGTCCCGTCCTTCCTTCTTTCCTTCCTTCCCCCTCCCACAATGCCAGGACCTCTGCCCTTTGGGGAGAGGCCCAGGAATGCAAAAACAGCCAATGGCTTTTTGGTCCTTGCTCCAGAGCCCCCTGCTGCCTTCTAAGGAAGGATCGGTGTCCACCACCCCAAGAGAGGGAAAGGGAGCCATCCAACAGAAAGAGCAGCCTTTTTCTGCTTCCTTCCCCCAACAAAGGGCACCTGGCCTGAGCCCCCAGCCCAGAAAGCTACAGGGAGATGAAAGAGCCCTCTCTAGACTCTTTCTGCTCCTCGGGAAAGCCACTGGCTGAGACTGAAGGTTCCCCCCCCTGCAGCCCCGAGCAGGTTTGTGCTGAAGGGAATTCTACAGAGGTGCCCAATCCAAGATGCCCTCCCCGTCCAGAGATCTGGGTTAAAGGGGAGCCTCCCCAGCTGAATGTCTGGAGGACAGTGGAGTGGGGGCAGCCTTAGTGCATTGCCTGGGCTGGCTGCAGATGGCAGGCCTGCGGATTGGACCTCATTCTTGGCTGCTGCCTTCTGGGAGGAGGGGCTGCCTTTGCATCCAGGGAGCAGGTGGCAGGAGGGCAGCTCATGCTGTCCTCCTTTGGGAGCCCCCCCCCAGTTCAGGCCAGAGAGGGTGGGGCTGCTGGACCTCAGAGGCACACATACACCCACACCGAGCCAGAGCCCCCTCCTGTAGCCCCCTTGTTAGGCTGTTGGGGGAGGCCTTACTGAATGCAGCTAATTATTCAGCCGGCAAATGCTCCCTCTCAACGGGATGTTGAGGGACAGAATTGTTCGGAGGAGGAGGAGGAGGAGGAGGAAGGCAGGGAG